GATGTGTATCTTCCCCGTCGAAGTTCAGCACGACATTGAAACGCTGCACGTCGAGAGGAAGAGCAACAAAATCGCCCACTGCGCACCTACTAATTTTAGCCACCCCGTATAGGTGGTCCGGTTTACATCTGAAATGACGATCGCCTGCCCATCTAGCAGCCGATAAATAATGAGTGCATAAATAATGCAAACCACACGAGTACTAAGAATGATTTTAATCTAAACGACTATTTAAAGAGTGCCAAATCCCCCCCAAATTTTCCCGTACAGATGTTTCGAATCCAACTTCAACTTAATGAAGTTTATGACGCGCAGATTATGAATATGAAAGTCCCAAGGAGGACAAACTAACCGTTTCGTCCACCAAAGAGAAAATGGTCTATTTAAAATTGTACTTTCATTAGACGCCGCATATTTCGACAAGTCAAGAAAAGTAAAACAAATAATTATCACATATCATATATAACAATTCGACGGTCGCTCATTGTTAACAATACTATTGTACTACATTGTTAACAATACTATCAATACACATTGTTGGACGTATTCAACAATGGCCTTAATTTGCTTATATAAAGGCACTTGTTTGAGTCACTGCTCAATGAGTCATTTTCTCTGGAATGGTAGCTCCCTTCACCTTGGAATTTTCATATTCGTAATCTACGCGTCATAAACTTTATTATAAGTCAGTTGGATTCAAAATTTTCATCTAGGAAAATATGGACGGAATGCTTATGAGCACTTGGCCGTTTTCATTGCTGTCGCTCAAATATGACTCGCTCTATCTCCACTGTTAGAAAATTTTCATGACCTAGTTGTGTGTAATCTTACTTTTCTAAGAACGTTATTACTTTTTTTAAAAACCCTTTTTAATAGTGCTGCTAACACGGATGGAAAATATTAACTTTTTGTTGTTAAACGACAAGTTACAGAACAGAAAATTGATGTCGGCGATTCTTATTATTGTTCATCGATTAGTTGAATTAGTTGAATTCAATTCTGATGAAAGTCACGCAAGTCGCATATTTAAGAGTATTACAGTATACCTAAAGTATGACGTTATAAATGATCGGGGAAGCTCCTAGGACTTCGGGCGACACATAGACGCGTCTATCTTTCTCTGTGATCGCTGCTGCCTTGACGTACGCAGATGGAACGCACCGTGTTAAAATTATAATTAGGCGTAACAAAGTTAAACGCGCAGCGATGAGCTCATCGCGGTCACGCGCACCGAATAATATATCTGATTGGGATTTCGCGATAACACGTTTAGCATTGTTACGACGTCGTGCTGAATTCTTCAGTACGGCAAGGGTGTTCGATTTTTTCTCTGTAAACCGAGAAAAGAGAGAAAACACGGTGATACCGCGGATAATGAAAAGCAGATTTCCAACGGCGACGCGACACGCAATTAGGCTTATCTTATTCCTTCGGAACGTCACATTTTCCTTTTTTTTTTACTCCTCCTCTTACCGAGGACGTATCTTTTACGATAATGCATTCGGCGGTTCCAGACCATGCCGCTTGTCCTGTCGACGTAACGACTTTGGGACGAAGCAGGAACTATTCGGGATGGCGGTGTCTCTTACGCAACCATCTCCTCCTTTGTCCTCGGACGAGAGGACGAATTCCGCAACCGCACGAAGCGGAATTCAACGCACGACGAACATGATGACGAAGGGAAGCGAACGAGGGACCTTAGGTCGCGAACAAACAGCCATTGTGACCGGCCGCGGGAAGAAGACCGACCAGAAAGGGAGACCGTAAAGAAGAAGAACAAGAAGTAGGGGAAGAAATAATCACCTGCGACCCTCGTAAACGTTTTCTCCTCGGTGTTTCGAACAACTTCTCCGATTACGTCATTTATTGATATTAAAGCTGCTGTACCGGTTAGGGAAATAATCTCTATTTCTAACGACGATGGTGGTAATATAAAATAAATAAAATAAATCGAAAATCTATAAAAAGTCTGAAATATGTGATAATAATAGAAAAGTAATTTTCGCAAGCAAAATATTGTGAATTTCTCAGACAGCTGGGCGGATTTAAGAAAAATCGCTAATGATACTCCGATGAGGCATCACGTACACGATGATCCGAGGTTATCGTGCGCTCTTTGTTCTCCACGGGCACGAGCAAAAATACAAATGTTTTCAACAGCGTGCTCTTCTCCCTCGAACACCATCAAGAAATCTCATCGTGCGCTTGTCGACATCGCGGTACTTCGGGCTCGATCGTTTATTTATACGTTTTCTCAGGAAGAATACGGGGGTGAATGGTGAGCGCGCGAACCACCCTGCAAGCGAGCACTTGCGACATATGCAACTGTTGCGATAACGGTGTGAGTACAGTGATTACGTGATTTTATCCACCGATAAGAAAAACAAATCGGAGGAGTGTTGATAACCATTCTTACAGAGCATTAACTGTTCGTTTACAGCGAAGAAACCGAAGTTATATAAATCGTCTCGTCGCGGCTACTTCGACGTGGAATCATTCGATGTGGAAAATATGGGCGTCATCTACTTTCCAATCTGTAGAAAAGGTGGTAAGCTGCTGGGCGATCTTGGTTCGCCGTAATTGCCTTCTCGTAATTGCTTTCTCTGGCAACGTTACAGTCGCGGCAAAAATATCAGTTATGAATATCGATGATGAATCGATACCCGCGATCGAAAGCTGACGCGCGGCGGAGTGAGGGATGCGTGACGTACTTTAATTTATGACGTTTACACGGTTCTACAATTCTGTAACCTTGGCTACTTCTTATCGACAAGATATGAGTCAGTCGACAACGGCTGCGGCCAACGTTTATATGTACAAAAAAAAAAATGACTCATAATCACGGTCACGCCCGTCACCGCAACGGGGAAAACCAAATTCCTTTGTTAGCCACGAAAGGACACATTAATGGGGCACACAAGCGGACGCTTAATTGACAGGCGGGAGTTTAGGTACACGGAAGCTTGGATTTAAAGTGACATCGAGGCTAACTTTAACCAATTCGGATTTATAGTTCTAAAGTTTCGAAAGAGAAAACCTGTTTTTTTTCCATATTTTCCGTCGATTTCTTCGGTTTCTGTCCCAAGGATACAAAAATTCATTTAGAAAAATTTAGGTGTATGTTCCATTAAAACCTGCCACATTAACTTTTTTCTGGAAAGAAGGTAAGAAATCAAAAAAATTGGCGGAAAAAATGGGGAGAAGTGAGTTTTTCCCCGTAACTTTGAAACTAATCGGATTAAACTAATCGAACAATAATAAGAATCGCTAACGCCAATTTCCAGTTATGTAACTTGTCGTTTGGCAATAATCAAAGAGTTCATAACTTCTACCTGCGTTAGCAAGAGAGAATAAATAATACGTGTGTATATGTGAGATGAGAACAATTTAAAATCGTCAATTAGATTAATCAGAACCTGGCAAAAGTCACTCTAAAAACCACCGCACGTGAAAAAGATTCAGTAGTTAACCGTCAAACTGTTGTAAGCAAACTGACCAGACACAGTCGATTATTCTCAAATCATAAGGACAGTCAATTGGTTAGTCAATTCGCTTATGATTACAATTAATACTTTTTCATACGCATTGCCTTTAAATTCGGATCTCCAACAGGTATTTCACGTTTTTAACCTTTCGCTATTAGCAATAAAATATAATTTAATTTCTGACAAAAGGCGTTTCATGCACTGCCAGAAGTCGCAATAACGCTGAAATTTTAGAAATTGCGACGTAATGCTGGCAAGCTTTTGTTGGTGGTATTTAAAAAAAGCTTTTTGCTCAAAATTACGTTACAATTTAATGCTCAGAGCAACAGGCTAAAGACTCAGAGTCATAGCACACAGAAAAATGTAAATAGTAAGACATAAGAAGTAAACAAATTAATCAATCACAGTCGATTGTTCTTCGACCGTAAGAAGAATAAATTACCGCGACTGGTCAATTTTCTTACTGCGTACGTTTTTGTGTGTACCATAGTCCTTACTACCATACATCTATTGTGGACTTGAACTGCTTTTTTCCATTTTTCTGAGGAAAAAAACTCGAAAAAAAAAACGTTTTTTTCACGTTTCATGCGGAAAAAACCGAAAAGAACCGGATTTTTTCGAGCCTTTAAAACTATAACCCGGATTAAGGGAACATGTAAAAGCATGGAAAACTCGCGAGCGACAAAGATGGCGTCATCCGAGAGAATCAAAAGTTTATTACCAAGCATCGGATCGCAATTCCAACGCGACAGCTCTCGCCCACCGAACGAGTACCATTCCACCGAGAACAATCGGCCGCGTGATCTCATCCGCAACGCGAGATCGCGTAGGAAGCACGGGAAAAATCTACAACGCCACTACATTCGCGAAAATTGCAACGATCACGCGACCACAATCACCAACATCGCATATTGCGTGCGGGGACCCCAGGATACGCGTAATCTTCGCGGAACCGGCTCAAGGACGAAGCGGGCGCACTCTCGAGATTGAGAAACCGCGTCTAGGCGTAGTTCGCGGAACGCGGGCCGGCAAACAGATTCCGTGAAACGCCGTAAACAACGGCCATATTTCCGGCGCGAGTTTAACGGCTGGACCGTTGATGACGCCATTTGTCGATCCCCTCGCCATTTTCGTGCTAGAAAGTCGGCCGATTATTGCGTCTTACGTTCTGAGACCCTTACGACCGTGAGCCAAGCGTTTGTCCCGCTCCAGAGAAGAAAAAAAGAAAAAAAGAGAGAGAGAGAGAGAGAGAATTCGTGTCTCGACTTTGGACGAACCCGGAATCGGACAGCGTTGCTCGGGTAAAGCGAGGGCGCGGCCAAGCCGGGGACCGTTTCTCCGACCTTGGACTTGTGAACTTGTACTCTACAGCTTCCAGCTCGTAATAAAAAGCGACATAAATGAGAAGACGTGCGTCGAACGTGAGACACAAAGGCGGCCGGTCATCGGAAGGACACTCACGCAATTGCGCGCGAAATGCGTATCTCGCTCGGAGCGAGAGAAAGAGAGACTCACCGCAAAAATAAAGTTAAATATGAAGAGCAGGTACTTGATCACTCCCATTCCGCAACTCATCTTGCTGGTTGGTCGAGTAATACAACGGGGACGAGAACTCTCTACTCCGGCGGGAGGACGAAGAGGAACGAACGAACTGCTCGGTGGGACGGAATCGTCGCGACACGACACTACACGCAACGACACGTTCCAAGGCACGAATTTAACTGATTCAATTCATAGCGGCGCTCGCACGGCGCCACTACAGCCGACGATGGCCGAGCCCGGCCGAGGACGGCCGAGTGGCGGCCGAGCGCGATTCGCAATAGAGTGACGCACTTTAGATAGCGGCTTTCAGCGAACCGTGGCATGCTTGTGTTGTGTTTATACGTGATATCGCGATCCGAAGTGATCTTCGGTTTCTTCGAGTTATTATTACACCTTCGCACCAGACGATCTTCGCGAGCGCGTGGCGTCTTCGCGTGACAATTTGTTATATCGTCGTTTGACGTGTCGGAACGAGGGTTAATCATAACCTTAACGTTGGCGAGTCCGACGGATTTCTCTTGAAATGACGAAATGTGTTTTCTTGATTTAGTACGGACGAGGATTTACAGATGTGCGGGGAAATTCAATATTGAATCGCGAGATGCTATCGGTGATGATTCGACAGTCCGAAATTTTACGACGCGACATCGGGCCCTCTACTCGGAACTTTCCCAATCAATCTTTCGCTCGATTATTTTAAGCGATACAATAATATTAGCGATCTAATCTGGTTAATCTTATCTGCCGCTGCGATATACCTATCTAAATTAGACATTATTGAGAGCATGACTAGCGAGTTGTCTCCTGAATTAAATTTAGTCATGCTTGTCGTGTTTTGGAGGAAAAAGGATGGAATTTCAAGAGGAATGATTAACCTACAATGCTTCTGTAGACCTCTCGGAGACGGAAAGATTTAATTGGGCGGATATGACGTGACAGGAATTCAGAGTCGGTCAAATGATGTGTAACATGACGTCACCTTAGCGGAAGTATTCTCGGACCCGAATGGTTTTTGGTAAGATGTATATTTTAGACAAAATATATCAGAAATTATTTGAATACAGCTCCTGAGGAAATCTGTTTCTCAATTGTTAGAAATTTAAAAAATTACCTCTGCGAACAATAGGTGTGTATTTTGCAAAAGCTACATTTTTCCCACTATATCTAAATGTTTACTTTTTTTCATCTTATAATGTATCATATAACGCAAAATTACTCAATATTGCCACACAAAGCCAAGATTATTTCAATATACTTTTATAAAAAAAAAGATTGTCCATCGAAGTCAAACACACATATATCTGTACTTCAAAAGGTACAAAATAATTTTTCAGTCTCGATATCATACGCACGCGATTCACACTAATCCTTTTTCACAACTATGAAAGATTTGCATTTCACTTAATACTGGGTACAGCGAGGAAAATCGGTGGTGAATGTCTACAAATGTAAGCAAAAAAATTAATTAAAACAAAAAGAAAAGCTGCGACCAACAATTACGCTATTTTCTTCACTAAAAATAGATTAATACCTTGTAATTGCGTTTGTCTAATCTAAAGTCGTTCAAGTGTTTTCAGATAATGCAAGATACGAGAATGACGCATGTATGCTGGATACTCTATGCCAGTTTACTTTATGTCATTGCTGTGAAACATTGCACTGTGCACTTTATTGCCTATATATTAATTATTTGTTAACTGCACTAGCAGAAAATCTTAAGTACAAATTAAAGCCTGCTTTGAACGATCTAATTCGCGATAGAATTTAGAACAGAACTCTATAATATCTTATCTTCATATAAATCGAATTTTGTCGTGAATTAAATCATTTTAAACGGGCTCCCTCACGGGAAGTCTCATGAATGTCAACGGGGGGGATTTTATCTCCAGAAATAGCTTCGTTACGATTGTAAGTTGTTGCCCAGAGTAGCAAAGCAACCTCTGAGTGAAAAAGGCAACTTTTTCATAATACGCATTATGCTATAAAAATAAATATAAAACTGTATTAAAGGGATCAACAACGACATTCGATTCTCGAATGTCTTCTACGAGGTACTAACGATACGGCAGTACGAACAAGATGCGAACGCTTTCAGCTCTTCTCGGAATATTATCGTTCTTATCTTCGTGCGGAGTGTCCGGGACGTATCTGTCGAAAGGCACTTTAAGAACAGATTCTTCGACGAGTCTGCGGCTTAGTTTCGCCGAAGGAAGATTTAATCATAACGAAAAATAAAAGGCACTTCTTAAAAAAAAAAAAAGAATTGTTCTCTGAATCAACCTTATCTTATCGAAAATCTCAATCGAGATTCGTTCGTCAAACACTAAACTCCGCGCCTAATACCGCGAGTTTTTGAGGATTAGCTCCTGAGGAAAGATCGGCTCGAAATTCACCGAGAAATCCGTCGCTAAGACACTTTTCGACACGCCCGGATCGCACTGTATCATGGAAGCGACGTCGACATCGTCCATGTATCGGTACACCGTCGATATTGTCACCACGCGAAATGTATTTCGCATATCACAGTGGCGCAACGTCCTGAAGTGACACACACTCCCGTCGTTCACGCTTCGCGGCATTGGCTAGGAGTTTTCGACGTTGTTCGGATATTTCGATCGGTTCTCCAGAAGACTGCCTTTTGTATCTAACTCGCTCGCGCGCCTGTCGATCTGCGATTGCACCCTCTTCTCCATCTTCTTCTTGTAGATCTTGGCGTAGCAGCATATGCACAGTATGAAGGCGACCTGAGATCGACCGGCACGCGCGTGCTGATTAGTCACTTTACGAACGAAGAGCCGCTCCTGGAAGGCGGGGTTACTCACCTGCAGCAGCACTGAGCACAATGCCAACAGGAAAACGTGCAGGAGAATCGACCTGGTTCGATTTATCACTACGTGCTGACATCCACGCTTGTAAATGTTAGTGCAGGCACCTTCGGTGCTGTTATCGTTCTCCGAGTTGGTTGTGTTGCAGCAAGACCAAGGAATCGAGTTCTGGCCACGGTAGTCAGCAGGTCCGTCTATCCCGCAGCAGTGCAGCTGAAACATTTCATATTTTCCAATCGGACTCTCGACTCTTGATCTTCGGTAATTTACAGCTTTATCTCGTTTCAGCTATATCGAGTTTTGTTCATCTGTTTATTTTATCGAAATTTGCATTTATTTACTCTCTAAATTTCTCGGAATGAAATCTCACTCGAATTCGAGTAAAACGAATTCTTCTTTTCCTTTTTTCTTATTACAGCTTTTGGTTTTATATTGTACGCCATATTTATTATATATTATACGCTAGAAGACTATGAAGACTAATAACATATATACATTTTTCAAATTGTTACAGCAAAGATTTACATTCGCTGTTCATTCTTTATTTATTTAGATCAGTGTGTAACGTGCGAGTCTATGCCAATGCAATGTTTACCTTTGACTGCATGTGGTCCCATGTAGACTTCTGATCAGTGGTTGCAAGAGCGAAGCTCTCTTCAAGTCGCGCGGGGTGCAAGACATCTACTTGCTCGTGTCGTACCAAAGCCCAAATCCCGACGCCGAGTTCGGTCAACGTAACGATCGCCAGTGCTACCGCGAACTGAACGTGGAAAAAGAATTTCGTTTATATATCGCCGGAAAATGAGCTACATTCTCAACGGGAATTTCAGAGAAAAAGAGAAAATCAGTTTACAGTTACAACTTGGCTCCTCATGGAAAAATTCAAGAATTGAAAGGCGCACCATCCCAGGGCGCAGGTGATGATTCCCATCACCAGTAAAGTGATGGACGGGCCGCATACTTTGTCAGGCGTTAGAGGCGCATACTCCTTCAGCTGATAAATGAAGTAACCTGAGAATATACTCACGATCGCCCCGGAAATCTGTAACGATAAAAGAGGAATGTAAAATAAAAGAACCAATGACTGAACAGGTACCCAACTCTGGACATTCTTATTGTTTTGTTCTTCATTGAAGTATCTTCAGTGGCGCATCAAGAGGACCACACTCATAAATTTAATATTTATCAAGAAAAATCAAGATAGCTGTGATGAGAAAACAGGAAGCTCAAATATAAATATTTAGAATAAATCCCAGATAGCAGGATAACATCTAAAGACATCTTAATGACGTATGATTGATGTCAGAAGCGTCATTAAGACGTTATTAATACGTCATTTGACGTCACCTTGCTATCTGGGATATACATACATTTTATGTTGAAAGATGTTAAGTTTAAATATTCGTATTTAAAGGCCGAAACAATAAAAATGTTCAAAGTTAGGTACGTGTTCAGGCATTAGAAATGTTTACAAGAATTGTGTGACTTTAAATCGGAGATTCAATTTTAGAAGTATTATAATTTTGATTAACGATTAACGATTTTTAATGTTCATGCTATAGACGATGTAATCTCACGCTGAGAAATTCTGTTTCCAGAACGATGCGTTTCAAACTTTCGTTAGTCATATTGCAATCTTATTTCTGGAAATAAATTCCGAAGTAAAAATCGAGTTTTTTTTCCGAGTTCTTCCTGTGCCTTTATTTTCTCAGAAATCATGTCTTATCAAGTCCACATCGGCGAGTATGAACTATTATCAATAAAACGAACTATCAGTGAGTAATGGTAGATTATCTGAGAACGTGAGATGTTTTTCTAACATCTCGACTAAGACTATGCGTTGAAAGTTTCGTAACTAACGCTGGTTAAATATCACGGCGCGATGTTTCATCTTGAAACAAATGTTTACTTTGGAACGTTATTTTATTAAACTTATTAAGTATTTATTAAGTATTATAAATTTTATTAAGTTTTATTTAAAAAATGACTTTCTGGTTAAAATATTATAGAAATGAACAATAGATGAAAGCAAATATTATTTGTTACATTCAAGTTACATACAAAGTTACATTCAAGCATATGATGCAAATTAAAACTTGGAAAAGAGAAGTGTTTCAAGCGAAATGTTTCACTGTTATTATCGTGAAATCTAAATGCACACATGATATCACATACTTCCACAATCGCGGTAAACTCTTAATTAGGTCGCTCCGCAATTGCTACAATGTCTCCTTCGGTTCTCGTCACCTTCCATTAGCCGGTGCGTATCGCAAAAACAATCGTAACGTGCATCGTGTAATTCCGCACGTTTCTTTACGTAAGCGATTAAAAAATTAGATACATCAAACGGCTGACGCATTGTTTCGCGACGAGCCAAGGCTCGAAACGGTTAGAAAGCATGAATTGTCTCCAGAAAATCGTTCGTCGAATGATGTCATAGATAAGTTTCCGATGCGTCGATGTTTCGACGATAATTACTCGATATTAGTTTTCGATTACTGGGCATTAGGCCTGTTCATTTTAGCTGAATTATGCCCGTTTCTACATCAACGTAATCTAAATCTAATTGTGGATTAACTTGATCAATCATATCGGCCAATTAGTTGAACTTATCAATGCGATTTATCAATTACGTTGAGTTAATCGTCGATTAGATTATATATATAGTTTTCTATATAATAGTTATATAATAGTCTCTATAATTATATATATAGCTTTCTATATATATAGTTTTCCATATAAAAAAATTTATTTTATTATATATTAAATATTGTGCGTATGTTCCACTGAAACAAAGTTCTTTAATATTTTTCTAACATAATACGTCACTTTTTCACATGATTTATCGTTTGTTACAATAATTATAATGTTTGAATGAAAATACAAAAGAGATACGTTATTTGACAGTAAAAACGTTTAACGAAACAATCCTGTTTCTTGAATCAAACATTCATTTGTTTGCTTCATTTCAAACGACAAGTTTGTTTCAATTACAGAAATCTCATTAATCCAAAGAAATTCTCCTTTTCTGTGCATATTCGTTGTTCATTCGTTATTCGTTTGCTCAATATACACCAACCTTAAAACGAACAAACCCGTTCCTTCGGCACCACAGTAATTTACCCCAACGCGACAATCGACAATGCCGCGCTAGAAAACACAAACGCGCCGACATCATTTCACGCGCAACAAGAGCCGCATTGTCGAACTCTCGAATGCAAGCGAGTAATCAATTATGAGCGACCGCAGCAGCTGCAGCCGCAGCTGCGCGATCACCGTAGATCCCTTCGACTCGGTTGCGCTTTCCCCGGCTGAAATGAAACGCGTGCGCAATCATATAAGCGTTTGAAGAGATCGACAACGCGACATACATAGACGCGACGCGGATAGATTCGCCGAAGGTCGTGCGAATAGCTGAGCCGAAAAATAATTTAGTTTTATTTTCGTTTTAGCCGAAGTAGATTGCACTGTTTTCCCTTTAGAGTGAAACAAATATATAATTTAGCATTTAAGAACAAAGAAACAAAAGTATATATATTATATAAATAAAAAAAACGAAGATAGGTTAGAACAAAAGGAAAAGATTTGAAAAGGGACAAAGCTCCAGTGCAGCAGTAGGTTAAAACGAACAGGTATAAAGAGCCGCTCAAAAGGGTAGCGTTCTCGGACCGAGAGGCCGGAAGAGCGAAGGAAAGAGAAAGGGAAAAAAGAGGAGAATCGAGGTGAACAAAGAGTTGCAGAAAGCGCAAGCGAGACGGACAGGCCTATTAATAGCCCGCTGGATCTCTCGCGATCGAATGCCGCGGTGCAACGACACCTGCGGCGCGTGAGCCATTTTCGAACTGTCTCACCCCGGTTGCCGTTGCGTCTCCCTCGAGACTTGCACGCGTCACCCCGGCGCACCTCTGTGTAATCACGCGCTGACGACGCGAGAGCGTCAGAGCGTCAACTTACTCCGAGAACAATCGCGCCGAACACCAGGAAGTATCGGCAGCAGACGAACGCCCGTCCCATCGCGCGCTTTGTTGATGTAACACACGATGACTATCTGGATCTCTCACACGCGAGAACGCTCACTCGCAGCGCGACGTTGTGAATGCGATCGGACACGCCGTCGCCACGGTGATCGGCAGGGCCGTGCGAGCTCGACTGGCGACGGTGGCCGAAGCACAATTCGCGCCCCGACTCTCCAGCCCTGACATCTTCAGCGCGCCGTCCCAACTCTGACAGAGAATACCTGTGACACACCGCGGCCTTTGACACCTGAGATGACTCGCGCCCTCGTGTTCTAAGTTAAGATTCCTAGCCTCGGGTGCATCGACCCCTGCTTCGATTCGATCCTAACCACGAGTTCGTCCTCTCAATGTTCGCACTCTGCTTCGTGGATGTGTGCGTCGAGAGACGCTGGAGGATTCGAGGGATCATTGTCACGATGATGATTACGTTAATTGTTCGCTGTGATGGAAGGCGCTTTTGTGTAATCTGTTGGTCTTCGCGGCATTGCGAATATTCGCGGGAATCGCGTCGATATTTTAATTACAATGGCGATATTGAAATGTCGAGGGAGAATCGATAGCTCGCGGGATATCGATATCACCTTTGTTATCTTGTCTTGTTATCTGCATATGTGTGTGCGTCCGTTTGTGTGCGTCTTTGTCTTATCTTAGCCTATTTGACTATATAGCACGTTAGTAAGACAGAGAACGAGATACTGCTTAGACGTGGCCTTTGTCGTACAGCCTCTCTAAAGCTCGTATCGGGCTACAAATTAGAATTGGGATTAAATTAAAATTAGGCCAATCAGAGCAAGATTCACTAAACTTGGGTTTAGTGAGATTTGCTCCGATTGGTTAAATTTCAATCCAATCTCAATCCTAATCCGTAATCTGATACGGGCATGACAGGCCACGGCCACCATTACGCTCATTCCACCAGTATGTCTCATATGTATACATATGAGAATATATGAATACTAATATATTGTGGGTGAGAGAGAAGTCCTGTCTCGGAACTACGGTGTGGAAATATGTATTTTTCTTTCTGAGTGCATTGTGAACATAATACGCATGCGTCGGATTGACGTCTCCGCCAATAGAAAAATAAAAATAAAATATATGTTAGCATATGTATACATATATATATATATATATCTCATCATCATCTGATCACTGCATTTGCGCACTACGGTCAAACACATATCGAACATCGTCTGTCCTTCGGTCCTATGACTGCTTTTTCTTATAGACAGCATAGGACAATATAGTATTATTACATATATGTATTACATATATGTTTTATACACACGGCTGCTGTGGATTAGAACTAGTTAAAGCTACGATGGTAGAAGAGATCATTAATTCCGGCAATAAACCGAAAGTAAGAATGCGTTTAAGGTTGTTGTTATGTATAAATTGCGTGGTAAGAGGATTTTGTTTACTGGCATAAACTACTTCGCTTTTATTGCAGAATAAAACTACCCGACCTCGTCCGGTTTACCTATGGAATGTGTTGGACGTGCAGAAATGGCTCAGACGACACTGCAGTGACTATTATCAGCTATATCACGAGAAATTTTTGCATGTAAGAGTTTTCCCCTTGTTATGAAACTTGTCCATCTTCAAGACAACTTGACGAAATTCTCTGCTTGATTATGTTCTCTGAGAAGCAAGAACATTATGTGTTTAATGCCGTACTGGTAAAAAATTAATCTTGTGGCGATCTTTCATTAAGTAAAGGCAGAGAAAGGAGGATCAATATGAAGTAAAGATATTTCATTGTTTCAAGCACGATATCACAGGAAGGGTATTGTTAAGAATAAACGAAAACATCCTGTTACGGCTGGGTGTCGATAATGAACAACACAGGATGGACATATGGAGGGAGATTATGAAACTGCATCTCAAGACAGATATGCTAGAGATTAGGGAATTAGAGCGACGTAACAATATGAACTTTGACTAGAATATATAAAACCCTGTTATATTTTTAGTTATATTTTAGTTTTATAAGTTTTTTCAGTATATATACATATGTGTGTGTTACTCTAGTATTATATAATTTGATACATAAACATATATTCAGGATACTTAATATATACTTTAATATCACATATTCAACGTATAATTTATTACAATAAGAGGTTATTTAACTTCAGTTATACTTATTTACTTCTATTCAGTAGTATTGTTGAACTACACGCCTGTCCGACTTTATCGACAGTACCAGAAAATTTATTCGGCGAAATAATTCGGCGATCAGATTTCTTCTAATGAGGTCTAATTACTTATAATAATTAGACAATGAGATTAGAGATCGAATTACTTGTAATAACCCGGTAGCGAGTGAAACATTAACGTGGTCATCCTCAGGCTTCGTTCTCATAGAACCGGAAGAATGAAATAAAGGCACAATTCGCTGGAAAAGCTACGTGCCAATCAGCATCTAGCTTTCCTCGTAAGGATAGTACGAATGGTGATTGGTCGCCTGCAACCTTCGTTTCTTGCTCGCGAGAGCCATCTGTTTCGTGTGGATCGTCAAGTTCCTCTATCCTGTGTGCTGTATGAGCTCTTTCTGCGAAACTCGCGATACAAAATGGTAAGAGTTGCTGTTTATCGTTCGTAATTTGCTCAAACTGTCGCATCCCGCGTTTCGCGTTTTCGATATATCTTCACCGTCGACGTAGCCCGATTTAAGACACATCTGGGAAACGTGAATTTTCCGTAAAATAGGAATACTTTGGAATGGAAAATGCACGTATGCCGCGAAATGGCCATGTGATGTGCCACGCCATGTGGTTATCACCGAAGCGTGTCATGACGAATGCTAACTCGCACGAATCGTAATTCGATTTTTGATGTGAAAATTAATTTCGCGTGTGATTGTCGCGAATCGAATAGGATGAATTATAACCTCACCTCTGCATGCTTGTACATGGCCGGCCATGTTAGATTATTGTAACCTGCATATAAATTATTTCCAGTATTTGTTGTATTGTTTAATACTTACTCTGTCTTGCAGACTTGCAAACGTAGGAATGGTGGACGTGCTAAGCATGGCCGTGGTCATGTCAATCCAGTTCGCTGCACCAATTGTGCGCGATGTGTGCCGAAGGACAAAGCCATTAAGAAGTTTGTCATTCGCAACATCGTCGAGGCTGCTGCTGTGAGAGACATCACGGAGGCCAGCTACTACCAGTCGTACCAGCTGCCCAAGCTGTACGCCAAGCTTCACTACTGCGTCTCGTGTGCTATCCACTCCAAGGTGGTTCGGAATAGGTCCAAGGCTGACCGTCGTATCAGAACACCTCCTGTACGCAACTTCCCAAGGGTATGTGTGAATATGAGTAAATTACATGATCCTTAGGTCGCCGAATACGTTACAAGACTATCAATATTCTCAATTCCTGATCAAAATCTCAAGTTCAATTTTTCTTTAATCACCTTCTCCCAAAAATATATATTGAACGATTGAAGTATTATATAATTGTATCACACACACACACAGATATATAAAATACATGTACAATTTCTCATATAACCAGCATAATAAATTGTTGACATTACTCAATATATGTATCTTTTTATTTTCAGGATCTGCGCCAAGGCCAGCAAAACAGGAAATAATTTTATTATGCAATTTCGATATAAATAAACCTCGATAAAAGTAACGCATTAAAGACTTTTTATTTATGTAATATAAATTACAGAGCACAATGTATTATTGCTTTGTTTCGAGAGAAAAACAATTGATAGCATAGTGTGTAGTCGCTAATCAGAAAAAAAAAGAACTTCCCACAGGATCGTGTCTACATCATGTATACATTTATTGAACATTATTTGCACAGAGACAGAGCACGCGATCTAAATATTTGCTAATATCTTCCTAAATTCGCAACTCGAGGCTTCGCTCTAAAACAGAGCGAAATTTGAGTAAAGTCTGAATCCTGCGCTGATAAAGTACTTACACACTCCATAAAAATATCTGCGTTCAACCAGCAAGAACGATTCTAATAGAATTAGAATGAATTATATAAAATTAATGTACAAGTTGACGAGTAATTCCCGAGTAGATATATTGTACATTGGAAAATCATTTATTTGCCTCCTCCATCGCCTTCTTCAGAGTTTTCTCGAAAATCTTTTTCGAATCGCAGAATCCCTGCTTCGTTTTGCCAAACGAGTTCGGTCCAGCTGACGTTGGCGTCTCGCGGCCGATGTTTCGCATCCTCATCCTCGCTTCGGCCGGCATCTCCTCCGGCTCGTCATCGTCGTCTGCGTTGAACACCGAGGCCACTGTTGGTTTTGGTACTGTCGCTGCTTTCACAATTGGTTTCTGCAGAAAGGAAAACAATTTGATCACAAAAACAGGTTTTAAAGAACAAAGGATTTTATATCTGCATATATATCCAAACAAATCTGTATAAAAATTTCACTCACAGAGGCTGAACCTAGTTTGATTTGTATTCCTTTCTTCTGCTCGCTACCACCGGTCTTTTTCCCAAAGCCGAATGCCAACTTCTGTTTCTTCGCGTCCGGTTGATGATAGTCGACTGATTCACAGCGTTCTTCCGGCCTGAGAGGCGAGCGATCCCTACCATCCCTGTCATCCTCTCTCAAGTCCTCCGCTCTGTAGACACTTGACCCTGACAACGTCAAACACTGGCAAAGTTCAGATCAAGTTAAACAAAGTTGACTTTTTAACCGGAAATCTTTAAGCACCTTATGCTTAACGCTGTGTACATGCCCTACAAATTCAACGGTTAGAGATTAGATGGTACGATACGAATCATGTGACGCAAGGTCATTCAGCCGACTGTACTACGCACAACGTACGCACGGTGTTTTTTCTCGTTGCAGGTATACGCGCGACGGAGAGCTGAAAAATCAAGTTAGATCGGAGAGTTCCAGGTAAGAACGAATGGCGTTTTTCGTGCGAAATTTGTCGCGACTTTCTTCACACGCTTGACGGGTGACGCACTATCGAGAGATACATTTCGGGTAGGAATTAGTTTCTCATTTTTTTTTTCTTTTTATGCGTGAACCTTGAATCTCACGTTTACGATATCTTAGAAAGAGAATTCCGTATCAGGCGAGCCTCTCGCGAGGAGCTTTGAATAAATAATTCTCGCGAATATGCGCGTTCACGTGATCGAGTCGAGACTCAATATTCTTCGGATCAAACGGTAGTGTGAAATAGATAAAATGAACAAAACCTTTTCTATAATCGTCGCCGGGATTCCTTCTGGACATTTTATCGGTATCCTGCGGACGCAGCAACGGAATACGTTGATACTCGAAGTAACCTAAAAATCGTTACTGAAGTTCCGATGCTCCTATTCGCCACTGTTGCCAATCGAAGCGTCGCGTCCTGAAGCAGTTCTGATTGGACAGTTGTCACCGCTGAAAAATTCGTTCCGTCGAAAGCTTTCGTAGGTGGCAGGTATATCGTTAGGTAAGTTCGTTCGTTTGTACCTTCTGCGCTTCCTTTCTTCAATGGCGGAAAAGATTTTGTAACATAAATATACCGAAAATTAGAAAACAGATGCAAGAAGATATAATTACATATACAGATCTGTTCTGTAATGGATATCTTTCTGTAACTAATCCATTCTACTTCGTTTCTTTGTGTTATGCAATAGGTCTGTTTTGCTTTTAATTGCACCTCCAGCACTTTTTGCGTTTGAAACAAGTAGATACGCATTCGGACGTTGCAGAGAGAAATCAAAGTACAAAAGGTGTAGCGTGAGCGGACAAATCTATCGCCGATGAAATGTTCGGAATGCAAATATTACTTTTGAACTAAGATAATATTATACGTTCATTGTTTGTTTTCATATAATTCACGAATTGACAAATTGACTGGAGCAATCATTATTTTCTACAATGTAAGTTTAATGTCTGTCATACTTATTAATTTAGCATACGACTTTGCTTTTAAACTGCGTTAATAATACATGTAATTTGTGTAACAGCATATATGATTTTATATAAATTAACCTTTAACGTCTCCTAATATTAAAAAGGATTACTTAAATTTGCTCGTGAGTTATTAAACAATAGCACTTTTGATTGCTATAATTAGGTTAAGTTCTGTACCTATTGATGTTGCTCCTGCTGTGTTGAGAATAAAGATATCTTGTTTCTATTACTTTTAAATAAATATTCAAAATATGGAATTTACATATTAACACCAATTTATTTTTCTTTACAGCTAAAATGAACACTAGTCTACTGCTGAGATCGATGTATCAAGCAGTTAATTCCACTGTCCCGAGAATTTTAGCCTTACAGCCTGTCCAAAATGTATTGGCTCACAAAATTCATTACATGTGCGACAGGCGGAGGTTAAATCTAACACCGAACAATCCTGATCACAACACGTCTGTTATTTTGCAAACTGTCAATCCTATGTATAATTCTGTATGCGGTCTGAAAACAAAGGGACGATTGTCGCTTCGTTGCAAGGATTGTTTTTTTTTATCAAAAAATGAAAGACTCTATGTAATGTGCAAGACACATCCCAGGCACAAACAAGTGCAGATGAAAAAGAAAGAATATAAAACATGGATTTTAACATGGGCCTCGACAAGCAAAATTCGCGGCTGGTAGTGACATGTGAAGATTAATTATAAATAAAACTACAATAATGTAAGTAACATTAAAACACAAATATTAATGGATGTATGTAACAAATTTAAAAGAAATATAAATACATATTAAAACAAATATAAAGGGAATATTTTGTAATATTCCTGAACATATATTTTATATTTGTGAAATTGATACATATATCAGATCTTATATATTTTTTTATTTTTATCCTCCTGAAATTTGATTATTTTATTTTTGCTGTAGCCTTATATGCTGTTTAATTTCGGTGATAAAAATGTGTACCACCGTTATAGCGAAATTTTACGCAGCGAAAATCATAAAATTTTTAATTTTCATTTCTTTCTTCAATATATACTTCTCGTTTTCTGGTCTGGTAACTTAGATATAATTTTAATCATTAATTTGTTGATGTACATAACAGAAAAATTTTATTATTATCGACAAACTATTATATTATAGCATTCAAGAGAGTCGTAAACCGCAGACTGGTTTAACAAAATTTATATTCCTAAAAGATATTCCTAAAATCTATCTCGGCAATGGAAATGTGAAGGATATGGTCGTTGAATCGTTGGCATTCACTTCGTCCCACTCGTCGTTCGTCTTGATCATAGTCCTATCTTTCCACAAGTCTTCTTGTATGGAAGATATGACACCCATCCAAGCCTACGAATAACAAACTACAATTATCAAAGTTATATACAAATTTACTTAAATTATAATAGACATAGATAGATAGATAGATAGATAGAGAGAGAGAGAGAGAGAGAGAGAGAATGAGTCATGTTGTACCTGTTCACAATGATTCGCCCATAAGTAGATCATTTTGTTATCCACTTTCTTGGATAATTTTTTTGTCCGTCGCAGAAGCCTCATCGCAGCCCCTTTTTGCGATTGAATCATATAATAGTAAGCCCTCAGCAACATATACCTGTAAATAGTGAATTTTTTGTAAAATTCTCTCAACAAAATGAAATAAGGAAGTAAATAATGTATGTATGATCGTCAATTAATTAATTCGCGAACCTGGGAATCGCAAGTTTCACAATTTTTATCATTTTCTCGACACGTTTAAAGGTATCCTTAATTTCCGCCATCGTATTTATCACGCGAGTGCTCTTGCTGGTAACGTCTCGCACTGTGTGACATCATTATCTTTATTACTTTTGGCATAATTAACACTTTTCAATTTAATGGCGTTTCGACGTTTGGAAATTGTATCACGCGGCTGAACACCTGTCGATTTCATTACCGTATAAAATCAAGAGACCCTCGAGTTTCTTCAACGCGGTGATCGTCGTTGCCGCTGTGTGCTCGTCCATCACGCTCTCGATTGTCACGTTCCTGCTGTCCCAAACCCTCGACGCTTCCCATTGTTGCGTCCTGACGCACCTGTCGATAACACACACGCATCGCTACACATATTGAACATTTTAATTACGACAAAGACGCAATAAATTAAATACGAGAATAAATTTCATTTAATGCGAAAAATAAAACAAACATTTAATTCGTAATGATGCAAAATAGCCCCCACCCCATTTTCGAGATCGATCGATGTCCCGATGATATCCCGATAATCACTTATAATTACCACAACCACATGGAGGTGAAATATCGTCTCTCCGCTTCCGGATCTCGCAGGCTGATCATGGTCTCTCCTTCTTGAAGGTAATACCGTTCGCAATTTTGATAAGAGAGAATCGTAAGTCCGGTGTCGAGTTGCACGTCGGCGCATGTTGCATAATACCAAGTGCGGCCTGATTTATCCAGATCACTTTGCGACGCAAATTCTGCGAATTGAATCTACCTTTCAAGTCGATCCGCTTTATATAATTTATCGTATTCGATAAATGTACTCAGGGCTCCGTTTATTCGCGAATCCACTTGTACGAGCGGCGAAAACTCCTCTGACTTAATTGCCTTTTAAAATTTACTCTCAGACTCGATTCCTGTGTGTAATTTCTCGCTCGATGAAGAAGATCTCGCGTAACGATGTTCTTTAATCGCTCAATTTCCTCACCCAATTCCCTCAGCAAGGCCACAACTTCCGAGTGACGGCAGGAGATCATGAGGAGGTGGACTAACGTCGGTAACACAAGCAGTTTAAGAAAAACGGAACCCATGGTCTGCGCCATTCTCGTCGTGATGAAGCCGATCTTGATCGCTTTCTGGATCTCTCCCCTCACCCACCTGGAAAAGAATACGCTCGCGTAAAGCTCGCCAATGGCTTTGAGCTCTTGGAACTCGAGGGAATCCTCCTTCTCCGCGCAGAAACTGAGAGCCTCGTTCTCCAGGTAGGGGACAATTGACCTGCACAGAAATACGTGGTTACGTGAAGTGACGTGAAACGATGTCAAATAAATCATTCAGATGTGAGCAATAATGTTACTCGTGAATTTGTTCATTTAAAAGCATAGCGAAATAATAGAAAGTAATAGAATTTGACATAAGTTGCTTTAAATTTTTGCGAGACAATTGTTGATTATTATTAATAATCAACATTAACCCTGACGGTAACATATTAGGTCTACGAGATGTTTTCTTTCCTTTACCCTTTTTGGTAATAATTGGCAACAAATTTAATAAATGTAAGTAATTGCAAAACAATGTAAAAAAGATTATTTTTATATTTTTTATGGTATAGGCCTGAGAGACCTATAATGTTATTTCAGTGTCAAAATCGCGAGTATTACTGTCAGGATTAATGTCAAATACTATGATATTAATTATTATGTGAGATGAGTAATTAGTAATTCGTTAGTTTAATCGAATCAGGGTAGACTTGTAGCTCTATCAACTGTCACACTTGGTGAATCACTTGGTCTGATAGACGTGTGCGGTAATCATCATGTTGGTGAAGGAGGTGCAGATCGTGAGGAAATCTCTCGACAAGTTCAGCACGGTGTTCAGGCTCCAGGAGGCTGCCAATCGCGCGTGCTTCTTCATTCCTTTCGTCTGTAATTAATATTTTATGGAATTACCGAGTGTAGTCGGTGCCATGTATGCTGTATCATTCCTTAAATTGAAACTTTTTACTATTACAAATTTAGCCTTTAACATATACATATAATATTGAAATTCTGTAGAACTGTTCGCAATCGAACACCGATTCCGCTGATATCGACATCCAAGATTTCACAGCATTCTCACTCTGAAAATTTCGAACATCAGCGCCAAGCAATTGGCCAGCTGTTCGATGTAATTCGCGGTGTCTTGGTCGACAGTGTCGTTTTCCCGGCGTTTTCGGCAGACAAATCTCCATCTGAGCAGTTCGAGCTGAGTAGTCGACTTTAGGTTAATCAGCAAATCGCTCCTCGGGAAACGATAGCCCAGAGTATTCATTGCATCATCCAGCTTCTTCTGCGCTTCCAAGATGATACCACTGTCCAGGTAACACCTACCCTCGAGCGTCTGGATTTTCGCGGTGAGATAAGGCAGGACTATCAGTTCCTCCTTGTCGAACATCTATTCAAGCAGCCGGTTAACTCTGCTTCTCTCGATTTTACCGCCTCCGTTGTCATTTAGTTATCTCTCTTTATACGTTCGTCCACATCTTACATTGTGAAGCAAGTTCTCGGCATCGTTGAGAAGTCTGCGAGCTTGCGGTACGTTGTAACTGGTCAGACATACCTCCGCGAACTCCAAAATCGCCGTCAGGATCAGTTCCTTCTTTCCTAGTAAACGTACGAAGCCGCTGAATATTTGCGACTTCCTTATTTCAACTATTAGAATCTTATTTTTAAGACTATAAATCTTTTAAGCAAAAAAAATCTATTTTTCAAAGCCTTCAAAGTAGTATAACCCCTTAAGTTTAAAATGAATTACCCTGTATATTCTTGCTTATATAATACATAAGAATACGAGTCTCGAATTGATAGTAATTTTTCCGTGCAATTAGGAAGAAACAACGTCGTTTATAAATAACAATAAGTATTACGTGATAAAGTATTTTCATAATAATTTCTGCGTGTAACATTCGTTAGAATCGTGAGGCACGTCGGCTCACCGATTCCGTGGCAGTGCTCCAGTATCTGCGAGTAGATGGTCGTTAATATGATGTGACATCGACAGTTAGCGAAGTCGACGTTGGAGAAGGTCTTCATCGGCTTCCTGCTCGCTTTACGAAAGATGTTAAGACACGTCGCCGCTCTTTCCTCGCTCATCAGTTTGAGATCCTCTGAAACGATATCGCTCGTGCGTTATTCAAAAGTATTTGTTGCTTCAACGATTCGCTGATCCACGCGTACTCAAGTAAGCAGTGTGCTTCTCTTCCTGCTCGAGGACGGAGTCCGTTTCGCCGAATCGCGTTTCTAAAAGGTGACTGACGGTCGGCTTCCTCTTCTTGATTTCTGGCGTGGTCGTCTTGCCCAATAATTTAGTGAATTGCAGTTCGCCGCACGTCAGGCATCGTCGGGTGTGTTGCCGGAGGTACTTCAGCGCCTTGCTGTGCAATTCCATCTTCTGATGTTCCGTCAACAGTCTTCTCGCGCGGAAGCAACACCGTCGACGTTTGTATTAAGCACACTTCAAGCGGGAATTTAACACAACGCCTCGATAGAATTTTTCATATAATCCGCAATTTGGAGACGAAATTTTACCTGTAGGTGGTTTCGCGGAACATCGATATCTTGAAGCGCATCAGGCCGCAAGACGCGTACGGCGGCAGATCGGCGAGTTCGTCTAGGCGAGAATTTTCATTACGGAAACTTTCAACGTGCTGATAGCCGCGCAAAATTCACGTATGAGTCCCAGAAGGCTCAAATTCTCCGTGTGTTAGGTTAACGATATTTTGTGCTTTTCTATTCGATATTTTACTGCATATTTAAAGATTTCATAACTCGGAATATTTAGTAAAATGGTTTGTAATCAAACAAGAAAACTGCCGCCTACAAATGGAGGATGCAGCGCTCAATGTGTTAATCGCATTCGCGTCAGAAGTGCATGAAGAAAAATAATTCGGAGGAACAACAAATTTTATGCTGTCGTGGCACATAAAGAAATATACAGAGTGTCTCTTGAGTACTATACAATCTAAAGAAACATCCAAGAAAAATTATTCAATGATGTAGACACTATTTTCAAATCTCCCGATGACGCTGACGGTTTAATATCACGTTCGGCTCTTAATCAATGCGTACCCGATATCTTGAGGCCTATACATTCGCACTTAACTTCTCTCTCGACGTGGACGTTCCTTATTTTTCTGTGAAATATCAGCATCCTGGAACTCGCAGTGAAGTCGCCCACTCCGCATCCGAGAATTCGAATTTCGAAGAGTTTCCGAACGGCTGCGACGATCACGGAAGACAGTATTTAGAAAAATCTAAAGACCTTTTTTTAACCTTTTTCCTCCAATCACATTCACGAATATTAATTGTATTCTTTCACAAATAAATATTCACTCACAAAGTCCTATCTCCTTCACAGATATTTCCTCCATCAAGCTCTGCAGCATTCTTCTGTTGACGTTCTCCCCCAACACCGACGCGCATTTCAGCAACAGTTGATCCAGGGGAGTTAACGAGTCGAAGAGCTTCAAGATCATCACTGCGACACGAGATGGTAATAATGATAATGCGTACAGCCGATAAAATGGACGATTGAACGGAGACGCGCGAAGACAATTTGAATTCCTTACCATCCATTGTTACTTCGGTCGATCCGTTTTCTGGAGCGAGATCCCTTGTGAACTTGCAAACAGCGATTGTCGCGTTGTCATTAATCGGTGCAGCCGTTGGTTTCGGCAATAGTACCACGTTATCCTGGGAAAACAAGGGACGTCAACTGTTAGTCGCACGAAACAGTTGCAGAATAGATTCCTACTTGAAAACTCGTCTTGTACATCTTCCACTTGTCCGTGCGCTCGTCTTCGTTATCCTCGACGTCCATATGAACGTCGTCCTCCGCTACAAATCTGAATAGTATTACTGAGTTTTACTGAATGTTCCATTATCGAACTAAATTTTAATTTCCAATATCTAGAGAGTGGAAGGAACAAATATATCAAACAAGTTTAGAATGAAAAGCGGACCTCTTCAGCATAGTGACAGGTGGAAGCACGTAGCCCATCATTTCCGCTTGCGTTTTGAGGATATTCACTATCGTGAGGTCGCCGGATTGCACGAGGCTCACCAGAAAGCTTTCTATCCACCCCGGATTGCCGTGACTTTTTTCTTGTATCAGTCTAGCGAGGCAAGACACACGAATCAGCTGATGGTTCTCTCGTTATTCGCCTATAAAATGTTTCTTTTAACTAACTTCTCAAGTTCCACGGGAATTGCGCGAACGTTCAGAATCTGACACGCGAGGGCTGCGTGGTACCACTTGTCTATGTGTCTCAATTCGATGACCTGTTGACGAAAAACAAGTCTTCTATGTTTGCGGATATATCATTTACGAAATAAGATGGTTCTCAGTCGGACAAGGAAACCGTTTAGATAATTTTAAGAAAAATAAAAAGAAGCATTCTTTAATGATTTAACTGTTCGGCTATTTGATTATTCAACTACTATTTTATCTTTGACTATTTGTCTATTTGACTACTTAGTTATTTAACACTTTCAACGCTACTTATTTGTCTTTCGAAGATCTTCGTAGAGAAAGCGTCGAAAGCATTAACTATTTAATTCGCTCAATGTCATACCTGGGCCCTTTCCATAACGGCTGGATGCAGCTCATACTCCTCGATCTTGCGTCCGACGCCCAGGACGAAGAACACCGCGTCCTGCTTCATCATCGTGCGGAATAACAGCACGGAATCCTCGTCGCCGCATTCAGCATCGTCGATGATTATCACCCACAGCTTCTCGAAGCAGCCTTTCGTCAGTTTCAGCAGAAACTTACGCAGCACCTTGTACTTCAACATTTCGGGCAGCTCTTTGTAGCGCTCGCTTATCGTGAAATGAACGTTGAAAGGCTCATTGAGGGCGCAGAGGAACTCCGGCTGACGTATGCGGCCCAGTCGAGAGATCAGCTTGTCTTCGCGCTCCTTCGGCGTGGTGGCGACGTTGAAGCCCAACGGCATTGAGAAGATCAGTTGGAGCAGACTGTACGGAATCTGCGCGAAAAGAGAGATAATTTCACCCCATCACCTACTCTAGAAGTTTCTTGGAGTGACATTTCACTCGGAAAGTGGAGTGGCAGTGGTGTCATTTGAATTCGAGAGCTTTTAATTCCTATTGCGTGAATTTTTTGCTCTGAACGAATATTTTCCCTTGAAATTGAAGAGTGAATCCGATATAATCCACCGTCATAGGAACAAGTTCGCTCCAATCTATTGAAACATTCATTCTCGTATGGTGTCAAAATCCGCTTTAGCTTCAGTGAAACATTCGCTCTTACGATTCCGAATGGCAGCATTTTCATACGAAAAAAAAAAAATTACTATAAATTCAAGACTTTTATAAAAAAAAGTCTTATATAGTTCTATAAAAAATATTATGTTCCTGTTATATAAAGATAATTTTTATAAATTAAAAGGAAAAATATATTGAATATAGAAAGAACGATCTCTTCAAGCTGATATAATTCTTAGATTGAAGATATCGTTCTTTCTATCTAATATTTTTTTCTTTCAATTTATGAAAATTATTTTTGATATATATATATTAACGAGCTATAAAATTTCTTCAAATAAGAGCAAGATTTGCTCTTACTGCCACGAAGGCACGTTAACCTTAGCGTCATTCATGACCAAGGAGATGTAATTGCACGTTACACCCGGAGGAATATTCTGCGCGATTTCGTCCAGCAATCTTGTCTTGCCGATTCTATACTCGCCCCTGAAAATTTCGTTTACGTTGAGCCTTCTCGACATTTGATCGTGATAATCGCTCACTTTATGATCAGCATGTTGTACTTGGGCCTCGAATGCAGCGTCGCTTCCTCTGCGGTCGAGTGTTCTAATAGGTCCGTCAGAATTCGCTGGAAAATCCTGATTTCCATTTCTCGTCCGAGTAAAGGATACTTGCTCCATATCAGCTCAAGCTTTTCGTGTCTGCGCTTGTCGAATTCGAATGTATGAAATGAGAGGTAACGTTTTCAAACGATATTAATGTTAAACTTCTGCAAATTACTTTGCTAGTTCCCGAAACTCATAGACAGGACCGACGTTCGTGATCCCTTTCAGGTATCGCTGTTCTTGAAGTATAAAATGCCTCGCTTCGAGGTGAGAATGCAGGAAACTTTCGCGATCGCATATCACCTTGACAACGGAAATAATCGCATCATTTGCAGTCGTATAGAAAGCAATTGTTTATCCTATTTAAATAAGAGTTTAGATTTAAGTAAATGTTAGTATCCACCAAGTAAATATTTATTTTTTAGATTCTTTTCTTAGTCTATATTAAATAGTTTAAATAAAAACTGATAAAAATAAGATAAGAATAATCTTGAAATACTTGATTGTTTATAAAAAAATATACTCGAAATAAATGGAAAATTAAGTGGAAAATCCATAATAATCTCCTTATCTTTTCAAATCACCTTGTTGTTGTACGCGCACATCAAACGCGCCGCCTTGTTCACCGAAATGCCGATCACGGTGTATTCTCTTCGCAAGATGTGGCCGACCACGCCGCAATATGTAATCCCGGTGGTGACGGCGATCGTCACGGATTTGACGTGTTCCATTTCCAAGAGATCCTGTCGCACCTTACTGGCGCATCTTAGACCGATCTGCGATTCTAACTCCTGCTTGTCGCCACGCAGGCCGAACACGCAGAGGAATACCAGGTCTTTGTCGAAGAGCGACGTCTTGTTTACGCATCCCCGCATCTCGTCGACTCTCCTTAACGCATTTCGGAGATGTTAACGCAAGAAAAATAGGTCGCGTGATTTCTCTCGGAATATGCAGCAACTATTATCAGCATAGCTCGTTTTTTTATGCAATTAAAAGAGAGAAATATCTCAAGATCGGTCCTTTATGCACGAAGAAAAATAATTTAGTAGCAAATGAATGAACATACACGGTGTTTCTTAAGTGCTGTCTGATATTTTGGAAGTTAATTTCTGAGATCATTTTATGGAGAGAAATTTGCACAAACATATTCATCTCTTCATAAAATACCTCGAAAGTCAATTCCTAATTTACCTAACAGTGTTTAAGAAACATTCATCTATTTATTTACTACGACAGCATAAAACTTGCTGTCCATCTGAATGATTTATCCTCGCATATATTAACGATAATTGTTCTCACCCGCACACCAATAAGTAAGACACGTTGACGAGCGAGATCAACTTCTTCATCTCGATGTCTGCCGTGATGACGTTGATGAAGAGGATTACCACTTGCCGCATCTCCGTGAGGTGCTCCATCGGCTCGTCCATCTCCACGGATCGTATTACCGGCCTGAGCATGTAGCTCTTCAGCGAGTCCTTCAGCTGCATCTTAGCTGCTTTTACGACCTTGGGTCTCACTGCACGATTGCACCATGTTGTTATGTTGTTAACACATTGATACACTGCCAAACTCTTATATCTTATGACGTAATTATGTACAGAGAAAAAGGTTTCTTTGGATTTAGTATTTCTATTTATTTAATAAAAATTTGTGTCATAGAAGCAACATATACTTACGAAATATTATTTGTTTGAGTAAAAATTTTATTGTCTCATTCAAGAAAACTCTATTATTTAACAGAAAGAACACTATTATTTAAAATAATATCTTTTAATCAAATAAAATATTATTTGGTTACAAAAAACATGTAAAATGAAACAAGTAATTTCTTTATAAGAAAATTATCTTTCGTTTCAAACAACTTTTTTATTTAAGATAAAGATACATATTCATTGAAAAGTCTAACAATCGTAGTTATTAATCGAAATATTAGTTTCTTTAGATTATGTCAATGATGAAATTTGTTTGGATGTAAACAAATTTATTAGATTTGAAGAAATCTTTTTCTCAGTATGCAAAAGAAACTCAGTTTGTTTACGTAGACGTGAAAAGAAGAATGATCGTTGTCACGCATGTGTGGCGCTGATAATGTAAATTGTTAACGCAGCGTGTTAACTCGTAACTGCCGTGCGAAAGGAACATTCTGTTCCACATACGCCATTTACGAGTTTACCAAGTGGCGCTTTCCTTTTCACACGTTGCAACTCACGACTGTAATCGACTTGCTTGAGCGTCTGAATTTTCAGAGTGTCACCCGTCAAGTTCATTAAGACCGCCTCAGCCTCCGTGCTCGGCATGTCGTCATCGGACAATGTCGAGTTGCTCGCGCTTCTGTCGTCGTCCAACCATTCGGTATCCTTCTTATCTGACAATCCCATTTTTACAATCGTTAGATCTCAGTGTGGTTGACGATTGGCGCTTTCTTCGGGAGAAAATAAAACAATCTTTTCTTCAAGTTTAACGTCAGGAAAAAAGCAACCTTCCCCAAAAAACAATAAAATTGCGCAAAGTGCGTGAATATTAATACAAATAGACAAGAAGAAAGATTGCGCACGAGCGAACATTCGCACAAATTAAATTTCCTATCGAGAGTCCCGGCGACTCGTGCAAACAAATGACAATGGTTTTACATTCCATGGAACGATACGACACGTAAGAAGAAAAATAGTTTATCGAAAACAAATGGCCGGAAGATCTCCATAGCAGACAAAGTTTATCATTTTACGATTAATTTGTCAGGCTCATCTTTTTTTCAAAACTCGGGGAATCTGAAAATCTTGCTGACCAGTATACGCGCTATTTCCCACTGTACAATTCATATAATTATGTAAGAATCCTTTTAGTTCTTCTTTTTCGAGTTAAAACTTCACTTCGCAGAATTTAAAATTCATTGTTCTTTACTTCTAGCATTGTCGTTGATATCCGGTGTCCTGGATTGGTACCACATCGCCGAACAAGCTATGATTAATGTATGCACGCCGTCTGGCAACTTTTCGTGAACGTACTCGTTGGGATTCGCCCATTGCCAGCTGCTGGGTGCCACGATAATATCTCCACCCCTGAAAGAAGAAGCAATTTTGACAATTCGGTGTTCTCTATCACTTACCTATTAAAATATCATTCGACTCGGTGAATTTAATTAAAAGAAAATAAATATTATCTCGTATAAACAACTAGAAGGAAAAAACACAGATGAAGCACTCTTATATACCGACACAGTCCTTCGGCTAATTTTACATCCCACACGGGTTGCCCGGTGATGAGAAAGTAGGACATCGTATTTGGATCACCGATAGACGTAAAATACGTCTTCCCGGAGGCGATTGCCAGTTTCACTGTCAACGATATTGGTGCTTACGACATGTTTGTGTTATTATCATTATTATTATAATTATTAATAACCCTTTGTGATCGCGGAATTCGTGATATCTCCGGCTAAGCTGTTCAGTCGTTTGCATACGCCTATGCAGAATATCAAACAATTTCTGCAAGAAACATTCAATTTAATATTGTCAACGACTATAAACAACTATTATAGCATAATATGCGCGACGGAAAATCAAACAATTTCCTTATGTGACACTTCCTTCGAAAGCTTTATCAACTGCTCCAAAATAATTTTGACCAGCGGGAGATGCATTGCTAAGCGGCTGCCGCAAAGGGTAAACAAAATAACAGCTTAAATTGATAAGGAAAAATAATGATTATTATAACACGCGTCTACACCTCGCAGAGTCACGCCGACGTCGGTGTCGTAGGTCCCGAAATGCTGCTGTATGACACACGCGGTCTGCATCGCCTCGATCGCGATGTCGCGCATCACCATACCCTCGTAGAGCTTCCACATGACTATGAAAGCGTCGCCGGAAAATTTGACCACGTCGCCGTTGTGCGAGAGTATCTCTTGCACCATGGCGCCGATATAGCTGTTCAGAGTTTCCGTCAGCTTAGATGGACCGCCTTTGCCGGCCTTCGTGTATTTCTCAGTGAGATCTGTGAAGCCTGTGATGTAACAATAACTGATTATCAATAACAATTCCAATAACAATTCTACCCAACAACTTGCGCGAAGGAAAGCATCTTACGCAAAAGTAGGCGAGAGCCTCTCCTTTGCGAGCGAAACAATGAAATTTAAATTCAAATTCAATAAACTGGGACGAATAAAGTCTATTATTATTATTATTATTATTATTATTATTAAGTTATTTCTCTCTGAGTGTTATCGTGTCGTTCCTTTTTGATAACATTAGTATCTATAGAAAGAATTAAAGAATTAAACGAAACTTAAAGAATGGATAAAAAATTGATAGAACTTTAAATTGAAAGTTAAGTAAATGAATTGAAAAATTAAACTATTTAACCTGAAACATCACCGAGCATCAACGTGGTGTGGTATGCTCTCGTATTGTAATCGTTATAATAATCAAGGATTTCGTCGGGGCACATAGAGGCGTATATCTTCGTGTGTTGTTCCAATCGGATACTCGAAGCACGCCTGGAGCTTACATCAACTATGGACATATAAATACACGATCGCATCGTGAATTAAATTAAGTAACGAATTAAATAACTATTAGATCTTGAATCATTTGACATATTGAATCATAAACATTCAAATATTCTATATAATTTACATGTATTTCAATGCTCCGCGCCACGGGAGTGATTACTTAACGATCTTCATGATAGCTAGGTTACATCAAACCAGATTTTCGCGAGTCGATCAACCCACCTTCCGTCATTGTAGCACTCCTGTCTCTTGATCCATTCTCTATGACAATTTTTTTCTTCATATCTGTAAATCTGTATTTCTAATATCAACGCACACGTCTGCAGTTACGTGAAAGAGTAGCAATTGGAAAATTATTAACAGGCGATTCAATCCTATGTACTCGCGTTAAAATAAAAGAAACGTCGTCTTCAAATGCATGGTCCGAAAGCAAATTTCAGGATGCTAAATTGCGATCAATTTTGTCATTTATCCATATATAAACATATAATTTCAATTTCGAAATATTTCGAGACCGTGTCGAAACATCTAAGCTAATCTTTTTCAAAATATAGATCATTTAATGACAGAATCAGTTATGAGAAATAATTATCATGCTGAAGATGAATTTATTTCATGAACAAATAATGTAAGGAAATTACTGAAATTACTGGAATTATATGACGATCAAATACAAGGTACTCGGTCGATCTTTCAGTCCGCGGTACTTGCCATTAAGATTCGTCCTTGCTAATGATGTTACGGGAGAAGCGTTAACTCCTTTGTATCGCGAACATACAAACGGATCTTCCCTACAAATAAAGTCTGGGAAATTCAGAAGGACGATCGATTTGTACTTGTTAGGAAATGACTCACGTATACCTCTTTCCTTCGTAAGATGTTTATTTAATCCAATATCCGATAGCGCTTGCAGAAGGGAACGATCAGCGTGTCAACAATAAATACACTCGTCGGACAATAGACAATATGTGTTTATTTAATAGTCTCGCTATATAGATACTTATATGACTTGTCGCTCTAACAGATCGCTGCCTACAACGTGACGGCCGAATTTTATTGTGCCTGGCCCTACTAGTCTTTATTGTGCTTGAATCTATGATGGGTCGACGTCTCTCTCACCTCTGGTTTACATAATTACTCGGTAAATCTCACTTCGCCTTACGCACCGTCGACTGTCAACTAACGTTCGGCTCGTACTCGCTGTGTCGCGAGACATCGCGTTACACGATCGGCTCACGTGGCCGGGGTGATCCGTTGCTTCGTGGTCGTCGACGAATCGCCATGTATTATCATCGGAAAATTCAACGAACATATAATATTTCTGCTTTCTCTTTTTTTCGACGCTTCTCTCCCTCTCCCCCTCTCTCTCAACATTCTCTACATTCGTCGCAAAAATAAAATTAATATCTTCTGTCGTCTCGGTTGCTTCTCCCTCCTCCTCTTTTTCTCTCTCTTTCTGTGTCTCTATGTATATAATATATATATTTATATATATTTATATATATAATATATATATATATATATATAATTCTAATTTATATTTAAATCTATTTTCTTTTAAGTACAGAGATGGAAACACTTAATAAATATACAAATATAACTTTTAAATCTATATTTAAAAATTTTCCCTTCCCCCGTATATATCTTAAATATATACCATCACTAAAATTTCCAAGGCGTGAAACAATTTAATAGACACTCAGCGATCTTTAAACATCAAATGTGTGTCGCGTGACGCGACAGTCCTATTAATCGGCAAACGCAAGAGGGATTGTGCCCTGCGGGAATCTATTAACAACGAGACGGACCAGGCAGCGATCGCACACAGGCGTAATCGTCGATTATCAAAAGGAAGACAACCGTTTAATAGTAACATCGATAAATCCTCTTCTACGCAACACGATATGCAATAACAAAACGGGCCTGGCGCGCTGTAAGTCGTTATTGTTTAACAGATACTATGTACACACACGCATGTATGCTATACGTCCATACTAAAAACGTCCCGGATGTGAAAGTATCGCCCGCCGTGTGATCGCCGTGTGATCGTCTGTGCGCTGCACTATCGAGTGTTCGACAGGATATCTTCCCCTATGAAGCATACGAACTCTTCTCCCTTTCCTCTCTCTTTTCCTCTTTTCCTTTCTTTCTTTCTTTTCAGGCGATCGTCTTGCCATCGCAGAAACGGATCGTCGCAGCGAATCTCGCCCCGAATTTTCGTAAAACCTCGCGCCTCGCTGATCGTCAGGAACGCACGAGTGAGCTCGAACGAAATCGTCCGCGACGTCTGCCACCGTGAATTCACCCCGTCGTTCCACCCTGTCCCTTCGACGCGTTCACCTCCCTTCTTCATCCCGTAATGAGCGTCGTACGTTCGCTCGTGAGACTGTATTCTCGTTCTTCGAAATCTTACGTAGATGAGTTTATCGAGAGAATTTAGAACTTCTTTTCCCGCCGAATGTTGCTCGAAAATTCCCGATGACGGTGTCAATTGTATGTAATTTTAGAGCGGGTTGCAATGTTCGTTCATTCATTCACCGCGATCACAACAAGAGAGCGCGACACGTGAGGACGACGGTGTAATTCCACGTGCGAAACGGTATAAGCGAGAAGTTTTCAGACAGAAGACGAGAACGCGCGCAAGCGCCTCAGCCTTCGTACGTCTCCGCTTACATCTCTTCCTCCCTTCCTCTCTTTTCTTCTTTTTCTTCTTCTTCCATTTTTTTTGTTCTTTTTGCTTTTTACGACAAACGTGACTCGTTATATAATGGCACACAGCATGGCAGTTGCAACAATGTACTTCAATAAACTGTTATTTTTTAATTAGCTTATCCCTTAAAACTTACTTCGATTAATCTTATCCTAGCTTCGTCGCACTTTTCATCAACCAGCCGCTCCCGACTTGCTTATGTAATCGTCGACTTCCGCCTTGTCGCCGCCGGAAATCGCCGGAGAGCGCGTCCGACCGTCGAGCACGAGGAAGAAAATTATTCGAGGGAGATGAATGCGCGGCGGCAGCTCCGGCGATTTCCGGCGGAATCGGCGCGGAACACTCGCTCGAGATGCATGCGACACTTAATTAATCAAGCGTCGCGAGGACTAGGCGAAACACGACCTATCTCGTTCGCATTCTCACTCGATCACCTACTCATTCATTCGCTCACTCATTCATACACTCATTCGTCGCTCATTTATGCCTACACATATACATACACACACGCAGATACATACACTCTCTCTCTTCCTCTCTCTCTCTCTCTCTCTCACTCATTCATTCATTTTCTCATTACTTGCTCAAACTTCCGACTAATACACCCGTTGTCATATTGTTATCATTCGTTTAAATATATACACGGGATCGAGACTTGTATCGCGTTATTTCGGAGATTAACGATAAACGTTACACAATAATGTAATCGGAGCGTCTCCTCATTCTCTTTTTAAGCCCCTCGTTAAGCTTGTTATCGATCGTTTACTTAGCGATAAAATACGTAGAAATTGGATAATAGAAAAAGAGCGGGTGGACCACGTCGTACCGGTGTCGGTCCTCATTGGATGCGTATCGACTTCTCCCTCGGCGACGAGATTTCACCTCGGATGCAAACACGTTAGCAGCGTGACGCGTGAGGAAAATCGACCGTAAGTAAAATCCAGTATAACGATTCAGACATGCCGGTGTCTGTCTTGCTTGATTTCCTCGAAGGATTAAAATGCTTCTCGCGGTTCCTACCTTTGTTCTTGATTCGTTGTGCAATCTTGTTATTATTCGTTAAATAGCAAATAGAATATCTTCCGAAACATTGTTTCGATTTTTTTATCGTGTTTTCCTCTTGTATCGAGACAGCATCTAACAAGGTTTGCTGTAACGCCGGTACGACTTCCCTTATAGTATTCACGTAAAAAGTATGTTTTTAGTATTTTCTTATCATGGACACACTTAACAGTCGATTTGAAAAATAATGTTAAGACTGTTTTTCTCTTTTATCCATTCTCTCTCTCTCTCTTTCTCCCTCTCTCTCTCTCTCTCTCTCTCTCTCACATTCTCTCCGTTTCGTTCCTTTTCTCTCACGCAACCTAACACTCTCGTCACGCTCTCCGCAGTTTCGCCTTAGGATCACTTGAGTGCCCTATAAATTATAAGAATCGAGGGGAGGATCTCGATAATCGTCGATAACTCGCCGGCGAAAAGTCTATCGTGATTTGCGCGATTAAATAAGCCTTGCGTCTTGTCTTGAGTGACACCGTTGGAGAACGCGGACTTTAGGCGTTTCAAAGAACCCGACATACTTGTGTGTATGAACTATCGCGGGAACGAGCGTAACTTTGACGAAATTGGGTATCGACCGTTTAAATGCGATAATTCTAAGAATGGAGCGCGCATGTGTTTTATTTACAAACGTAATTACAATTGTTGTCGATGCAGGGTGAGGTGGGGGAGGGTGGAGATGCCGTTTAATCAACAAACGAATGTGCCTGAATCATTAGACGAAGGTTAAGCGACGGTTAATTACCGAGTAGAGTTTCGGTCTAGAGTGTAACAAGTGCTTTGTTTACGGCTACCGTTTACTATAACTCTAATGACTTAGGCGCGATCTGTCGCGAAATCCAATCGCGTCCTCCTCCCCCTCGTTCGTTCTCTTAATCCCGAACTGCTCTCCCCCTCTCTCTCTCTCTCTCTCTTTCTCTCACTCTCTCCCGACGCGAACGACAAATTCTACGACATCGATTGTATCGAAAGAATCTCGTGTGGAGTGATCGGATAATATCGTTACTATGATAATATTTAAGTTAGTAGAATCTAATATATCAACAAGAAATTCGATCTGATACTTTGTCTCTCTCGGTTAGTTTGTCTCTCATGTCACTCCCCCGTTCGTCCACGCATTCCTCGCGTTCCTTTTCCCACGAAACGGAAACTCCTGCAAAATTTAGAATATTATCGAGTTACACGATGTGTATATATATATATATATATATATTAAAGAGTCAACATCGAACGGTTAAACTTCCCGATATTTACAACCCCCTCCCCCAATGAAGATTATAAGTAGGACTCGAGAGAATTTAAAGATATGTTGACATGCCATTGTCGTAAAGCGAAACAATTAATCCGGACAGGTTCAGTTAGCGGACCACTATCAACAATTAAGAAATTCTACATTGAAAAAATAACGTCGTCAGACTTTGAAAATTGGAGATTGATCTCTGAACGAGCAGACAAGACGTACCTTACACAGCATTCACGCATCAAACACCGCCCTTAACAACTGTGTCAATTAACAATAATATTATTTTTTTCTGCTTAGCTATATATGATGTAACACGATGATATAGGCTTGATATGACAGTGGCACACATTAACTAGTTATTTTTTCCCCTCCTGCTTCTTTCCGTTCCTCTTCACCTCGCCTTCGATCTCACGAATCGATCGACGTGAGAGAGACATCTGATTGTGTTATATCTTTTCAAAATGAAAAAAGCATTTTCGGTCCCAATACATCTCTTTCGGTTTAAATGCATTTTTCTTGATGTGGTTTGGAATTAATCAAAAACAAATTCTCCCATTAGACATCGGCTGAGTCCAAAATTACATCGAAAAAAAAAAAAAACTATTGAAATTATATTAACTATGCGTACTAGGAAACTAAGCGTACGATTGCCTTTGCAAAAATTTGGGAAAGAGAATTACAGAGTCGGAAATGCAAAACGAAAATACTTTAATCATTCGCTAATAAATAACTGTTCCTGCTAATAAATAACTCGTTAATAAATAACTGTCGTCTAGCGTCTCTGCGAAAGAGAGAAGGAAATTTTGCGAATTTCTACGAAAAATGAGATAAACACGTTGATTGTTTCGAGATAAGAAGAGTAGAGCCGGAAGATCGTTTTCATTCGGACAAATTTAAATGTAACTAGATTCAAGTGGACACGCGAGTCTCGTTCCGACGATATTAATTGAGGAAATCTCGCATGCACGTGCATCAATCTGATACTTGAGACCAAAGGTCAGAGATGTGAGAGGAGATTGCTTCAACCGCGCGGGTGCGGATCGGCGACGCTTCGCTGCGATAGATACGCCGTGCGCGACACGCACTTTGATTCCAGCTTATATGTATATATATTTATATATACATGTGTGTGTGTATGTATAGTTGTCTCCTAACGTTTAAATATACTAGGGTCAGGTTTGCTAGCTCTCTCTGTTGATTCAAGCGGTTCGAGCGTTTCGCGAAGAGACGCGGGAGTAGCAAATGAAACGGGCAAATCGGTCAACCGGCAACGAGAGAAGCGCTTTTGTGAACCTGCGAGGGCGACTATGTCATCAGGTATTAACGATAAAATTTCTCACACTTTCAACATTTTGCAATTAACTCATCGCAGTGGCAGTCGCGACGGCATACCGGTGGCGGGCGGGTGAGCGAGCGAGCGAGCGATCGAACGATCGAAGAACGTGCGGCCTCTCTCCTTCCCTCCGCGATTTTCTCTCCGGCATTTCCTTTCGCATTTTCGCGATTCATCGTCGCGCTGCAGATTTCGCGAGAGGAGTCGATCGGGTTCGTCTTACTCTCTGATCGCGCGCGCTGCAGCACTCCGGACTGTGCAACAAATTTCGTCGAACGACGGATAACTGTATGATATACGCGACGGTCCTACGCTACGGTGATACATACCGTATTATTTACAGGGAAAGAAGAAAATACAAGAGAAAGAGAAAGAACGCGTTTTAGTGCCTCGACTACATCCCTCCTGGCTCTTGAACTGCTGCATGAAGTATTTACAGCGACCTCTCTCTATCCTGCCACGTATTTACATTCTCATGGCCGGCGTGTTTTCGATTTTAACGCAACGTTCTGCCCGATATATTCGAAGAAACGTCTCTCTCTTTTGGATGCACACGTCATCTTGCATCTCTGTCTCGCCGAGACTGAGAACTCTCTTCTTCCCCGTTATCCCTCCTCTTATTCCCATCGTCGATCTATTTCGTTAATTACGTCGGTTCCGGGCACTTTATCCCGGATACGTAACGGCGGACCAGTAATTGTTTTCTCCGCGATGACAAGCTCAATCGCGCGTAAGTGTCGATACTGTCAGCGCGAACGAAACATCGAGCTGTGAAAATGCCAATGTCACAGCCGCTTGCTCGATTAAGAACAACGTTCATGAAGAGCGCATGTCTGGAGACGGACGCGTCTGGTCCGAGAAATGTCAGTAACTCGCGATTTAAGGAGCGGTCGGGATTCTCGCGAATGTCTTCATTTTGTTTTCGTTTTCACGATCGACCGTTTCGTGGAGATGAACCGGCATTACCGCGGAATACGTTACTTTTCTCGCGCTATCTTGCTCCGTCTCTCCAATTGTAATTATCGAAATATACCGTGCCCGACATTACGCGTGTGAGCATTCATTATTATTGTCAATCTTGAAATCTTATCGGCATCGCGTTCCGTAAACCCTTTAAACACGCCTCTTGTCCCCGAATCCTATCATCCTTCGTAAGGGATACGCCCTAGGATGTAAATTACAGAATATTGCTTACGACAGATTATCTCATAATGTTCTATGCTTCGTTTCTTTTTTGTTTTGCTCATGTCACTTGTTTATCCCGTACTTTTGTGTAACTAGAACTAATAATGTTTGTTACACAATGACGATTCTTTTGGACCCGTAACAAGCAATCCAAAAAGGGGAGGAAACGTGATACTTTACACACTTGTTTCTCCCCCCCGCGTTTTAATTAATTTTTATCAAACCGCGCAAAGAGAGAGAGATGCAAAATATTTCGTATTTTAAATTTCTTAGAGATTAATTTACAAAATCACAGATCGGTCGTAAAATCGCTCAATTCTCGATCAACCCTCGCGAAAATCAAGATGAACAGACGCGAGGAAAGTAACGAATGAAAAGCAATTCAAAGGTGATAAAAAGCTAAGTCTCGGTTTAAAAAATTGAGAATTCATAATTGCATGAATACAAATTTTGTACAAGCTTCCTTCTAATTCAATTGCTCCTCTGGAGAATGTTGAAACGAGAATTGTAAACTATTTCGGATGTAATTTTATGTACAGGGTGATTAATGGGAATGTGTTGAAAATAAATGGTTATATATCCCCCCCCCCCCCTTTCGGCAGCTATTTAGCTGACTGAGGGTCCGCTACTTGAGACCCGTAAAGTTCATTTGAATTGTGCAGACCGGCCAGAACAGACACACTAAGCATCGAAGAAAAAGTGTTTCTCATCAAGTGCTTCTACAATAGAGGCGAAAATATTATATTATACTCAGGCGAAACGTGGATTCTGTAATAAATATGGATCCAAAATGTTTCAAGAGAAACTATATTCAGAAGGTATGTTTTTGGTACTTTTTACCCAACCTCCCCCTTCCTAAAATCGCACCATAATCCCTATTATGTAGGTAATGCGAGATTTTATTTATTTCCGATATTTTTCGCGGGATTATTAATAATTTTAGTATGTATGGCACTTTAAACGATCGTAAATATAATTTACCCGGCCGATATCATACCGTTACAACAAACGTTTACTTTCAACACATTCCCATTAGTCACCCTATATCAGGTAAATTCGACGTAAATTCGTAAATTATTCGAAGATATTTCTGACTGAAAAAATTCGTTCACTAATTTTAGCTGAACTAAATATTTCGGCGCTTAGAGAGGATAAAAATAGATTCACAAAACATTATTGCCTGGAAAGTAAAATTCTCTACAACGTTCATGCGAACTTTTTATTTTTATTTTAATCGTCTGTTAAATCTATGTTAAATTCGTGTGCAGTGTGTGCAATCCTCTTTAAAAGCTATATTCGTATTAAATTCAATTGCTTACGTCCACTTGTAGACATAAAACCGTGAAACGTGAATGAACATCCTCTAAAGAAGCGTAAATTTCTTTTCGTCAACAACAATATCGAACGTTGCGCTGCGAACAATTAAATGTTCCATTACGGTAACAGTAACCGATTATAATGTCTACAACGACATTATCTAGACATTAATAAAGTCGTCGAAATTGGACGCGTTTGGGGGTCGCCCCGCGAAGAAGACGAGCGCTCATGTTTGCGCATCTTCGAAACAATCCGTTCTGAAACCACCGCGTCCGTTATTATTATTATCTACTCGTATTAGAGCATCCCGAAGAATGGCCTCTCGATTCGGGATTTGTCGGTACCTTTGGAAGGAGGACGATGCACCGCCATGTGAAGATGTGTTGCGTAATGATGTGTAATGACAACGAGTACGGATTCGAGAATGACACGTTGTGACACGGGAAGATTGGCCGTTGTGCGAAAGTCCTATGTGCGAAAATGTTGGATAAAGGAAAACGCCGTACCGCTACTGGAAGACCAGTAAACCCAGCTAATCGAGAAACCAAGAATACGCACTCCAAACCACATAGCTATTTTAGAAAAAAACTTGGCCACGCGTAAAACTGAAATAGAAACTATGAAAAGATGCGATAATTCAACGAAGAATCGTAAGAATGAGTTAAAAATTCTCCTGAACGAGAAGGAGACGAGCACTATTAAGGAAGAAGAGAACCGGAAAGAGGAAAAACAAAAAGAGGAGATGAATACTGAAATGGAGGTGATTGATGAAGAGGTACGATACTTTGACGAAACGCATGAGAAAAGATCGAAATATATGAAAATGTGAAGAACACGAAACGTAAATCCAGGGATAGGCTGCAAAAACAGAGGAGTGACATTTAAATAATATGGAAAATAATATGAAGAAGTATCCAGCTGAGGGACGAAAATCAGCAACTGGAAAGAAAAGATAAACGAAAATTTGAATGAACTCATGCTTTTCAAGGACGTCGACGGGTCCTGTCACTTCAGTTTCGCTGGCATACATAATCGCTGCTGACTCTCTTTCGCTACTCTCTAAAGATGATTCGATCCGCATCATTCATGCTTCTATCCTGCATAAGCTCTACATTTGATGGATATTCGAGAGATGGCATTACTGAGATCATGAAATTTAGCATTTCAGTAAATGACACTAGCCATTCTTTCGAAGATTCCATATCTACTTCGTCCCAGTTGTTTTCGCCTTCCGATATATCTTCGACAGTTGTTGCGTCGTTTTTCATATCTTTCTCGATGTCTTTCAAAAATGCTATTTCTTGCTGCTTCGAGAACTTGTCGAATTGCCGAGTCTAGATTCAACATCATGATAAAATTATCAATTCCCACCATAGGCTGATGATTCTCAACCAACTTTGTCAGCTTGAACAGTTGTCTTTTCAATAGATCTATGCGCGAATTCCTCTCCTCCAGCTTTTTTATCCAGATCGCGTCACTCGATGTACTCCACAAAGATCTCTCATACTTTCTCATCTCTTTCTTGAACTTTTTTATCGCGTCTTCTATCATAGAGATGACCTTGCTATCCTTTTCCCATTTATTAGCCGCAAATTTTTGGCTATCGTCCAACCACTCATCAAGTAGGTTCCTATTCTTTTGCATCTTCAACGTGTATTTTCTATCTGCGTTTAATATTTTCAGTAGATAGTTTATAGATTCGTTCATATTATCCTCCAATATAACGTTGTTTATGTAGTCCCTCGGATCCTCCATTTTCGCATACACTAACCGACTTGGCGGCCTAACTTGAGATCCGTGATTTCTCAATTTTGCGCGATACGAATTGATACCGCGCGATTCTAAGCTTTTACGTGTTCTCTCGCGACCTTTCAACGACTGTTTCAACGACTGTGTTTCCTGCCAATTTATATCGCGCGGCTCTTTGTCTCCAGCAACGTCGGGATCAGCGTATACATGTCGAAATGATATTCGAAAAGTATGAAACTAGCTGATTGGCGGATTAACTAAAATAAACATAGAAGCACACAGGTAGACAGAGATGAGTAAGTTTATGTGTGTACCTATGTGTGTATGTGTGTGTGTTCTTACATGTGTACAAGTTACGTCACGGTGCGTCTTCAAGTGTCTGTGAGACGAATCGCGGTAACGCGGTTATCCTGTTAGTTCCGGATCGAAATTTGTCCGCTAAATTATATCTTCTCTCTCTCTGTGTTCCTCGTGCCCTTTTCATTTTCTCCGTATATGCCGTTTTCACCGTCTATTTCTCTATTTTTCTTCTTATTCTACCCTATTCTTTCTCTCTATCTCTCGCTCTGCCTTACATACACTCTCACTCTAACATTCATACGCTACTCTCGCTTTCCCACTCTTGCCTTTCCTTTCGTGTTAGACTCGCACACAGGAAGAAATTAATCTTAAATCAAGAATAGATATTCTCATATATAATCAAGAATATTGTAATCTTCTTAGGAGATTTTTAGTCTTGAATTGAGTTTAAGTAATAATTGCATCAATATAAATTTAATCAAGTCAAGACTAAAAGTTTCCTAAGAAGACTATGATATTCTTGCTTATATATGAGGATATTTGTTCTTGATTTAAGACTAATTTCTTTTCCGTGTATTTGTATTTATATTTACGTGTGTGCATACATATATACATCTACATACGTATATTTTCGCGGTCGTGTAAGTAATATGTATTTACAGTAGATACGCGTATGTTCGTATCTTTCGTGTGTTATATATATGTATAGGCGTATGTATATATATATTTGTGTATGTGTATGCATGTACGCTTACACACACATACGCACGCATATACGCATGCACACAAAACACGCACGCATTCATATACGCGCGCGCACACACGTACACACACATTTACACACGCACATACACGCATGCACATATACACACATTCACGCACATACATATACATATATACTTTAATTTTCTCGGCAATAATAATTAATTAACGTTATTGTTGCCGCCGTTGTTGTTGTTCTTTATCTCGTCGTCGCGCGTTAGTATTTATATTTTTATATTTTATTCTCTTTATATTTATATCTCTGTTATTTATATATTTATATTTATTTTCAATATTTATATATCCTTCAATATATATATATATATATATATGTATATATATATATATATATTAATAATAACAGTATTAATTATTATTAATATTATTAATTATTATGTGTATATATATACGTATATATATATACCAAGTTGTTATTATTATTATTGTTATCTTCGCGCTATAATTATTATATATGTTAACAATGGTCGCAGCGTTACGTAAAATAATTATATGTCTTGACATAGGTTTTGTCCATTGGCGGATCGGTATCGATCCTTTGTTTTAAGTCCATCGCTTTTAACATACGAATTGTACTAAAACGAACAGAGAAGGCGTCCCCAACGAAAATCGACTTTAGAACAAGCTTTTGAGGAATCCGGCAGGTCCCGCCTGCTCATCGTTCGAAGACGCAATGTTTTTTTTTCCGTATCATTGTCCGTTACGTCGTCAAGGTTGGTAAGTCGTATGTTACAATACGCATAGAGAATTAGCACGTATAAGTACATAGAACGTGCGTGGAATGTCGTGTATACATATACATCCCGGAGGCAGCGTGGAAAATTTCAGAACACAAATAATTAGTAAATGGAATAAGAATATGTTAATTGACGGCTGATGGGTAAAGTATTTGCGAGATCCTTCGGCGTTTTTTCATGCGAGATTTCGCGCAATAAAAGATCGAATTCTGCCCGATAGAAACACTACTCAAAGCTGATTTCTCTTCTGTAAATTGTTTTATTTTTTCAAAGAAGAGACGCGCAAATACTTTTCTCATCCGTTGCGCAATAAAGAGTACGCACAAATAGTACGTAAACTTTTTTCGTTTCCTTTAACGTGTACGATATGAGAGTAACCGTGAGATATACTGACCTCTTGCTGTGCAGTTGTAGCTTGTTTCAGCTTAGCTTGTGCGGTTTTGAGTGCTCTGCGACGGAGAAATAAAGAGCGTTAATTTTCCTAACACATTTTCTTTTTATCAGATCAAGAAGGGACCGTTTGTTCGGGCGAAGCAATCGGCAGAAAATATCCGTATGTCGTGCTCGATAAGTGATACTCACTCCTGAAGATCTCTGATCTGCTTCTCCTTGGAGTTCTGCTCCTCTTGGGTCATCTGCACGAGCTTTAGCAACCTCTCGGTTTCGGCGGCGCTCCTGCCCGATTCTTCTCTCGCCTTCTCCAAGTCCTTCTCGGCAGCGTCGAGCGCCCTTTGCATCTCCGCCAGTCTCTTGTCGGGCGCCCCGCCACTCTGCGCGCACGTACATTAGATCGTTGAATCAAGTTCGACGAAGAAACTTAAGTATATCTTGGCCAACATTCGAAATGTGACGCGCCGAGCGACGATAATCACCTTTTGCAGCTGCTGCTCCAACTGGTCCATCCGCGCTTTCCTCTTTTTCAGGTCTTGGTCGAGATTTTGCAGCGTCCTCTCCTTCTCTTCCACCGTCCTAGCTTTCTGATCGACGGACCTCGCTCGCTCGTCCATCTGTCTTCTCTGTTCGTCCAGTTGCCGACGTTGATCCTCCAATTGTTTCCGCTCCTGTGTAGTATCGACGCCAGCCTTGGCGGCTCCAGCTTGTAGTTTCTTGTTGGCTTCGTGCAAGTCCACCTGCATTTAGGAAGGAATCGCTGTAGCGTACACCCCGCTCTTCTCATCGCGCGCGCGCACGCATTTCGGTCTCCTCTCTTTTCCCTCCCCCTCCCCCCCCTTTCCTTTCCCTTTTTAATTTTCTTTTTTTTTCTCTCATTCCGAATCGGACGAAAGTCAGACTGCGAGACAAAGATAGAAAGAGAAGCTGATGATGTGTGCCGTAAGAGCTATGATGACCATTCCAAAATGCAAAACCGACACGGCCGCTCTCTACTTGCGCTTTGGCGTCGTGTGCTTTGGCTAGATCTCGTTTGCGTGTGAGTCTCAAGTTCCAAAGTGCAATTAGATTCGCAAGGAGGCGCCAACTCTCAGACTTCCTCTGCTTTTCGCAACTGATTATCGGGAAGATGCGTAGCGTCGCTAATGACGCACGCTTCTTTTCCCGGAGGAGCCGAGAATTGCGCCTTGCCGGCTAGCTGGTCGACGTGACAAAATCATGAATGCATGATACGTGAATTATAATAATAACGATAATAACAATAATAACGATAACGATAATAATAATAATAAAACGAATTGAACGTGACATCACACAGACACTCCTCCATATCTAATGCTTACAGCGAGAGATGGTATATACATACAGAGAGACGTATCGTGATAAAAACGTGGCGAATATAAGACAACGTATCTACAATGAGGTATATATATAATAATAATAATAATAATATATACATGAGCAAACGCGCGAGATGTGCACCAATCAGAGAGAGGAGAATACCGTTCACACGAAGTTCTCCGCGGCGGTTCTCTGAGCCACGGCACGTCATCGCGTTCGCGAAAAGAGAGAATACGGATTGAAAGGGGATATCGAACGGGAATGGAAGAGTCGAAATCGCGGTGAAGCGGTATTTCTTCGTCTCATCGATGCAGTGCATGCTTTCCAACATAAACGTTTTCACGATCTTGCTTCTTGCTGCATTGATTAATGCGCGACATAAGCGCAACGGTAACACACAATAATATGAGTAAATATAGTAATAATAATTAGAAGAGCGAGCGCAGGAATCACTTCGACTTCACTTCTCTCGTCTTCTGACTGCCCATCCCGTATATTTCGCGTTTGCTCCACAGTCTCGTGCGCTCGCTCTCCTCACCGTAACAATAATAATCACAATGCCGATGGGCAACCAAAAGTACAACGACAGTAATGATAATGATGATGATAACAGTAATAATATAATATAATAATAATAAGAACGAGAATATATTAATGCCAACAACAATAACGATAATAATAACAATAATAATGATAATAATAATAATAATAGCGATATTAAACCAGCATAAAAATTCTCCGTGAAAAGAGAAATAAACGGTAATAATAATAATAAAGTAACCATAATTATGTGTGATAACGAAGACATTCTTAATTATAATAATCATAACGATGAAAACTTGGAACATATTTCGATAGGCAATGAGCGAATGGCGGTGCTAGGGGGTATCGCCTCAGGCTCAGGCTCGGGACAGGACAGGAGTGCGGATTCTCGGGGATCGGTGATATCCTTATGCCTGACTTGCGAAGGAAGACGTTGCGTCGTGCCTGCGGTATCGCTGCACGCGTATATTGCGTATGTAAGACGAGAGAAAGAGAGATGTGCGCGCAGTGGGGTGCAGCGTGTCCGGGGGTTCGTTTTTGCAACATACAAGTCACGCATATTTCACATCGTCTATCGTATCGTATTTTTTTCTCTTTTTTTTTTCTTTTTCTTTTTGGCGGCTTGCGTGAGAGTCTGTCTCCTCGCGCTGCGAAGAAGAAGAAGAAGAAAAGGAGGAGGAGGAGGAGAGGGAAGAAGAAGAAGAAGAAAAGAAGAAGCGATACTCAGAGAAAGAATTAGCCGTAGGAGCTTAAATCTAGCTGTGGTAGCTAAAACAGAGAGAGCTGATGTCGTTGCTACAGCAGTTAAATCTATCAGCAACGACATTAGTTGGTAAAGGCGAAACGCAATTTGCTGCAAAGTACAACTATATTGTTCATTGCAGTGCCTTAAGGCAGTTGGTCTGTAGAGTGTCGGACTTTCAGCAGCGATATTAACGGCTAAAGAGAACTTTCCAATAACTTTATTTAACCATTTAAGTAATAAATATTAATTTTTTGAGCGTGTGAAAAGACAAATATGCACACGATACTACAAATACGGAGACATTTATTTTTGTATTTTTCTTATTAATGCTCGATTTATACGTCAGTTGAGCTAATAGAGGTATACACATAATAGAAAATATTATATAAATATGTAAACGTGTGTACATATATCGTTATATTATTACAAGTTATAAATTTTCCATAATTATATTTTCAAAACAAAATGTCAATAATTAAAAAATGTTTGCTTAATGTCTCTACGTTAGTCCTTAACATCGCAGTAGTTTTTAATTAAGATTCTAAATGTGGTTTAAAAGAAATAAAAAAATCGTAGTTAAAAATAGAGCATTCTCCAAGAAATACGTAAAAATAGTGTCACCTTTTAATCGCTTATCTCAGCTTCCCGGGTCAAAAGTGCTTCCATCAATATGCAGATAAGATTTAAAAAGATTCTTAAGAACAACCAGGAATTAATGTGCTCATAAAATTGCCAAAATCAAATTAATTACGGGCCATAAAGAGCAAGACGTAGATATTTTCATACATAAAAATTTAACAGTTTTTCTATGCGGGAATCTTGAGATTTGAAATATAAAATCTCAAGGTATATATAGCAGTAAAAGATTCGCGGCTTGCTTTTTATACCTCAGCCGTGTTCAATGAGAGCATTCTTGAGAAAACAGCTCGACAGGCCAACCACCGTGATTCGAAGAGCCAATATCGAGCCCCCACAGCGAATTCTTTCTCTTCCTTCCGTTTCCCAGCGGATACTTATCGCAGGGAGTGCACGGGATGGTGACGCGAGTGTGGCGGAAGTGGACGTGAGAGCAGCGCGAGCGGAGCGGGGCGCGGCGCGACGTCGCCGCTGACGACGCTGCTCCCGTTGCCGGCGCGATCCGCCGTGATCGCCGCTGCTAACCTGATTTTTCTCGAGTTCCTGGCACAGCATCTCGAGCTGCGCCTGGAACCGCTCGCGCTCCACGGTCGCCTGCTTAATCTCCTCGCGCGCGCGCTCCAGCTCCTTTCGCAGCCTGTCGATCTCCTGGCCGTTCTGCACGGACGACGGCTGCTTCTGCATGGCGAGCTGCATCTGCTGGATCTGCTGCTGGTGGGCGTGCAGCTGCTGCTCGGTCGCCTGTATCCGCTTCTGCAGCTCGGCGGCCTCGCGCTCGGCCGTGTCCGCGCGCTGCCGTTCCGTCTCGCAGAGCTTCTGGAACTTCTCGAGCTGCGCCTCGGAGGCGGCCTCGGCGCCACGCGCCACCAACTGCTTGCGCATCTCCTGTATCTGCTTCTCCGCCTGATCGGCGCGCGCCCGCTCCATCTGCTCGACCTGCTGGACACTCTGCAACTGCTGGTAGAGCTGCTTGATCTCGCGCAGCTTGCCCTCGAGCGCCTCCTTGGCCGCGCGATCGGGCGTCTGCTGGACGACCTTGCGGACCTCCTCGCGCTGCCGCTCGAGCTCGGCCTCGGTCGCGCTCAGGTCCTGCTGGAAGCTCACCAGCATCTCCTGCGACTTCTCCAGCTGGATCACCAGCTGGTCGCGCTCAATCTGCAGCTGCTTCGCGTCATACTCGAGCTTCTCCTTCATCTTCTCCGAGTGCTTCTCCCGGTTCTCGAGGATCGCGGCCATCTTGTCGCGCTCGCGCTGCGCCAGCTGCACCTCGTACTGCATCCGCGCGAGCTCCTCGCCGTTGACGATCTGCTGCTGCTGCTGTTGCTGCTGCTGCTGCTGCTGGCTGCGCCTCAGCTCCTGGCGCATCGCCTCGCGCTCCTGGCGCAGCGAGTCGCGCTCCTGGCGCACGCTCTGCAACTCCGCGGGTAGCCGCTCGAGCTCCTTCTTGCTCGCCTCGGCGGCCTCTTGATACTTGCCGGTCTGCAGGTGGGCCTTCTCGAGCTCCTTCGCGAGCCTGCCCGCCTCGAGCTCGACCTGGTCTCGCGCGACGATCGCCTTGTCGAGGCTGGCGCGCAGCCGCTCCACCTCGATGCTCGCGCTCTCCGACCTGGTCTTACCCTCGGTCTGCATCAGCCGCTCCAGCCGGACGATCTCGACGCGCAGCTTCTCGTTGTCGGCCTCGAGGGCCTCCGCCCTCGCCTTCAGCTTGTCGTGCCGGTCCCGGATCTTCTCGGCCTCGATGCGCGCCCGCTCGATCTCCGAGCGGTTGCGCTCCTGCGCCGCGGTCGCCTTCCCGGTCTCCTCGCGCGCCCGCTCGAGCTGAAGCTGCGCCTCGTGCAGCTTCGCCTCGAGCTCGGCGTGGCTCGACTGCGTCCTCTTCAGCTCGGACTCGCGGCCGTCGAGCCGCTCGCGCAGCTTCTCCACCTCCTGCTGTAGCCTACTACCCTCGCTCTGCCACTTCTCCTGCTCGTACTGGTATTTACCTCGCACGCCCTCCGCACGCTCCAGATCGGCGCGCAGCCTCGAGGCGTCCTGCTCGGCCTTCCGGGCGCGCTCGAGCTCAGCCAGGGCCTTCTCCAGACGGTCCCGCAGCCGCTCCACCTCCAGCTTCGCCCACTCGTGCTCCTCCTTCTGCCGCTCCTGGCTCTCCTGATACTTGCCAAAGCGGGTCGCGTACCTCTCGCTCTCCTCGCGCGCGCTCTCCGCCTCGGTGCGCAGCCTCTCCGCCTCCGCCTGCGCCTTCCTCACCTCCGCCTGCTGACGGTCGTGCTTCTCGTACATCTTCTCGATCTCCAGCTGCATCCGCGCGAGCTCCTCCTGCGTCTTCTCCGTCGCCGCCTGGGCCTTGTTCAGCTGCGAGTGGGCGCGCTCCAGCTCGAAGCTGATGCGCTCGTTGTCGGCCACCAGCTTCTCGCGCTCGTTCTGCAGCCGGCGCAGCTCGATCTGCGACTTCTCGTACCGCTCGCGCACCATCTCCAGGTCGACGCTCAGCCGGTCGATGCTCTCCTTCGACTTCTCCTCGTGCTCCTTCGTGCGGCCGAGCTGCAGGGCCGCGCGATCGTACATCTCCTGCACGCGCGCCAGCTCCTCCTGCGCCTTGCGCGACTCCTCGCGCGACTTCGCCGCCAGCATCTGCTGCTTCTCCGCCTCCAGCTCGAGCCGGTCCTTGTCCGCCTCCATCACGTCGATGCGGTTCTGCAGACGGTACACCTCGCTCTGCGCCCTGTCGTTACGTTAACATTTGCTTCAGCGTCTACCTGAACTGGACGGTAACCGCGCGCGTCTTGAAATATAATCCCGACGGAAGCGAGCCTCCTCTATCGAGCCGATTCTTATTTCGCTTGCGAACGACGAAATTTAGACTATTTTTAACATACAATCGATTATCAGGAATCAATATTTTTTTACAACCGACTGTTTCACTGTCAATTCTTTCCCTCCGATATCGCCGTGTACTTAACGCGCTCACTGCCGAGTTATCTCGTAGCTGGCGTTGAAAGAGTTCAAGAGCGTTCTATAGTAGCCAACTACCCACAAATAGAGAATGTTCCACGAATGTCGTAAAGGTATATGTTCTCAGAGAATTCGAGATACGCACCGAGCAAACGGAAAACATACTGAAAATATAGATAATATTATACTGACGATATCGTATCCTAAACTTTTATATCTCAAGAACATACGAGATATATTGCAGGGATGTTTTCAATATGTTGCATATATCCATAGCATATTTAGCATAAGAATAATATGTACGAGTGATATCACATGCTGCCTGAGTACCGGTTAATTCGCGCAAGTTTTTTTTCTTTCCTTTCGCTCGATGATAGGTCGAATTAATTATTAAAGTGACGCGACGCCGGGAACAAAGTTCACCGTGGCAAAGTGATTGAGTCGTGGACGCGTCTGATCGATGTTACCTATCGTATTTCTCCAGCATCTTCTCGAATTCCTTGGTGGTGTTCTCCCGTTCCTCGTGAGCCTTGTTCATGGCGTATTGAGCCTTCTCCAGTTTCTCCTTCAGGATCTGGATTTCAGTCAGAGCGTCATCTCGCTCGAGCTATTTCGCCGCAACACCGAGAAGGAAAGAAGACACTCGAGTTATCCCACACGGTATCTTCTTTCTCTCAAACCAACTGCTCTTAAACGCCATCGAACGAAAGTACAATTTATATAACATTTCTACGATGTTATTTTCGTGTAGTCGCAACTCGATTCCTGCTGAAGCTCGCGTCGCGAATGCGATCTATTTAAGTTTCTCTTCATTAATTGCAAAGTCGGTAACACACACACACACACACACACACATACAGAGAGAGAGAGACACGAGTGAGATCTTCTCACCGTCAATTTTTGATGAGTGTTGTGCGCTTTCTCCCATCTTTCCTTCACCAGCTCGAGTTCCGACAGCACGTTCTCCTTATCGCGTTGCAGCTTGCTTATCTGATTCTGCTGGATTTCCAGCCTTTCATGCATCTTCTCCATCTCCTCCTGGAAGCTGTCCCGCTCCTTTTGCAGCCGTTGCATTATGACCTGTCGAACGTGCGAAGTCGAATCGTTAGGAACAGCCGAATTGTAAATCCCAGGCGCTGCAACTATCAACATTCACCTGCGCTTTCTCGTACTTGTCCTGCAGTCGATCGACCTCGAGCTGAATCGTCTCGCGCTCCTTCTGCATCCTCGTCGACTGTCCTAACGCCTTGTCGAGCTGGCTTTGAAGATTGTCGAAGTCGTAGTTCTGCTTCTCCCTCTCCATTTGCATCTGCAGCGACCGACGCATTGTTAATTACATGTACAACCAATAATATGTAACTTCGTGTAGGTGTGCAGCTTATTTTGAAAGCAATGTCAGTTTAATGTTCGAGAGATACTGATAATGTGATCGTTATTTTCGCGAATCGGCATGAGGAGAAAAGTAAATCGAGGAAAACGGATGAAAACTCGTATCATTGTCGGAAAACAAGCGACTCGTAAAAGTGAAAGATATGGGATGGAATTTTGTCTTTGCTTCCTGCGGGGAATTTTTGCGGAATTGCAAGAGGATAGAAATTTGGTACCTTTTCTCAAAGGTACTCACTCTACGAACTTCGGTCTGCGTCTTATCGAGCTTTTCCTGCAGCTTGTCGACCTCGCTCTGCGTCTTGTCCAACAGATTCTGCAGTTTGTCCTGCTGAAGTTGCGCCTTGCCGAGGGTGGCCTGCGTGCGTTCGAGTTCCTCCTGCGACTTCTCGAGCTCGCCGATCGCCTTGTCCCTCTCGGAGTGAAGACGAGCCACAGACGCCTGTGCCCGGTCGTACTCTTCTCGCAGGCTCTCCTGCTCGGTCTGAGCATTCTCCAGCCTGGCTTTGAGCCTGTACACTTCGCCCTGGCTCTTCTCCACCTGGAATAAAGGAACCAAAATTACTTATCAGTTGCCGCTCCAGAATATATAATAAATTCGTCATCCCCGAGAGAAAATATAATTATATACAAAATTATGTAAAAGATTTTACATATAATTATATATGTAAATTGTACGCATAATTATATATGATATATATAAATTGTACGCATAATTATATATGATTTTGTCTCCGTCGCTACATATATAAGTCATATGTAATCACATGCGTTCACATATAAAAAATGCCGTTGAGAAGATCAAAAACAAGTTCTTTCATTAAACATCGACATCACGGGCTGCCAAACACAAGCTGTTACCTCGATTGCATTCGGTTGTGCAACAGCAGTTCATTCTCGCGTGTACATATATAATTACGTATCATTAAATATGACTGTGCAGAGAGACAAAATTCATATATAATTATACAGAGGAAAGATTTTTTGGGTTTATTAAAATTTCTTTCAATTGAGACAAATTCTAAATTTGTCTTTTTGAGTGGAGCAGACAAACGAATGTTTGATTCAACAAATAAGATCCTTTTGGTTTTTCAAGCAATAAACATCTTTACGTCAAATAACATATTTCTTTTGTGTTTCCATCCAAACATTATAATAGTTATCACAAGCAATAAATTATCTGAAAGAAATAACACCATGTTAGAAAAATATTAGCACGTTGGGTGCAGGCTCAACTTTTAAATCGAGCTGGGTGTTCTCCCTCTATGGCATGTTGTTTTCAAGTGTATTTGAGTTAATTAAAGTAACAAAAATATGCCGCCACGGGGGGTCGGATTTTTATATAAAGCCGCATCCAACGTGTTGAAGAAATTTGTTTGGAGGCAATATTTAGAATGTAATGAAATTAATTTCATTTACTGAAACCAAATATTATTTCCTCTGAATAATATTATTTTTTTATATCAAACAACATGGTTTACCCTAATGAAACCACTACATTTTTGCAAACGAAATGATATTTGATATGAAATGGTGTTTATGTTAGACAAACCCAAGTCAAGCAAACATACATACTAAATCCAAAGAAACCTTTTTCTCCGTGTACATACAATCATTTTCTCTCTCGGGTCTCTCTTCCATCTGTCGCAGACACGAGTGCCGGAGCTTGATTTATGCGTACTTGCAGCATTACTTTACCGAATACGTCACCCCCGCACTTAATTACAGGCTGCTGGGGTCGCCCGGAGAGATCGGGAGCGGAAGTTAACGCGATTCGCTCGCGTTAGAACGATATCCACGTTATTACCCCGCTCGCTTTCGCCGATTTCCTTTATTCCCCGTCGTTAACTCGCATTTTCGCGTTCAAGAGTCGCGCGGCAGACTCAGCGTCGGGCGCAAATGCGAACTTAAGCACACCGTTTAGCTGCGTGTTCCTCGGCGAGCGGCCGGTATATGGTAATGTACGCGAGCAATTTTCCAGTCACTTAGGCGGCGGGCTCGTTACTGCTGCTGGTTGCAGCGCTGGTCGCGGAGACGCGGCGTAGGGAGAAGGGTTGATTGGAAATTGGATCCTATTGCACCGATAACCACGTAGATGGCACGTAGCGAGAAGAAGGACTGGACGAGGAACGATGAAGGAGAAGCTGAAGAAGAAGAAGAAGGAGGAGGAGCAAGAGGAGGAGGAAGAGGAGAGGGGGTGAGGGGGGGGGAGAGTTAGGAACGGCGAAAGAACGAACTTCACTAAGGTGGTGGTCGCGCGCGCGAATCGATCGCGATTAAAAGGGATTGTTCGCGAGAACGCGCCCCGGCCGATTCGACTCGACCCTCGGAAAGTGCTCGTCGGAATAGAACTGCCGAGTCGTCCGAAACGGACCTCTAGTCGTCCATTAATAGACCACGAGTGGCGACGTGTATACGGGTCGTGTGCTCCGGCAAAGTAGTTCAGGTTACTTCTGCGCCGATCAATCGATAGTGTGATAATTGACGTATAAATAGCGCTCTCGCGAGAGATGCTGAGGAAAACGCGGGGTATTTTGAGCCCGGCGCGAGATCGAAATATTCCCGAGGACGCGCTCTCCCTCGCCCTCGCGATTCGGGGCGCTGCGGGTATTTCCATGAGTCTTTAAATAACGAGTTGCAATGCAGCGGGTCGATACTTTCTGCGTTTTTTGCGGGGTAAACATACGACGACGCTGTTAAAATGCGGCAAAATGCAGTCTCGTACGGCTCGGCGTCATGTATACTACACCGAGAGAGCCATTTGATTGACTCACGCTAAATTCTTGCTTACACGTGGGCAAACCAATATTTTGGTTACAAAAACCAAAGTTTTTGCCTCAGGGAAATTTTCGTTTCGGAGAACCCAATTTTTAGTTCAGAGAGCTAAACTTTGGTTCTCATAACCAAAACATTGGTTTGCCCACATCCGAAACAAAAACTTAGTTTAAGTCAACTAAATGGGTTTCTCAATGGTATATTCATTAGACGGAGAATTACACGATTTTCAGCCTTATATATAACGCGAAAATCGCAAAAATAACTTTACTTATCACGGTAAAATTATAATGGTTCTAATTATAATAGTTTCAGCTCCTTGTGTGTATTTGAGAAAGGCTGAAAATTGTGTAATAATTAAAAGTTTCACTCTAAGGAATGATGCGATGACGTCGACTATACGATGAAGTGCAGGGGTTGCGTTTGGTAAAGTGTTGCGAGTCGAGCTCGTGAATCAAGAACGTAAAGGAAAATTGTGGAGGCGCGTTGTCAGTGCCCCTTTATTAGACAGCAATAAGCGATTTAGATATTTCTTGCAATTCGACATCAACGTTTATATTACAGGTGCCCATAAACAATCAAGCATTTGTAAGATTATTGTTTCTATCAGTTTTCACTATGTGGGAAACTATACAGTATATAAACTACTTGCAACTTGTAGTATATAAAGTATTTAATTATGCTATTTGTGTGAGGCGTTTAACTTATTGCACATTATTGATTACAAAGTAAATGTTTCTTCTCCAGACCTTGAAGTGTGTTTCATTTTGCAATTTTTGCTTACTTACGGGTATCCTTAAGATATTTCGCCACACATGTGCGACGATGAGGTAAGAGGAGAGAGAGAAAGGAAAACGCACCTTCTCCTGAAGGGATGCGGCCTCAGCGCGCGCCCTTTCGTTGTCTGCTTGTGTAACCCTCAGCTCGGCTTGGGCCCTCCTTAGGTCAGCGGCCGCTTTCTCAGCTCGCTCCTGAATTCGCTCCATCTCCTGGGACGAGTTCAGGGTACTTCTGCCGTAGGTGGACTGCGACCTTTCGACGTCGTGTCTCAGCCTCTCGTTCTCCAGCTCGAGCCTGGTCAGCCGCTGCTTCGCGGCTTCCCAGTCGGCACCGCTGCGTCCAACCTCTGACGCGGCCTTGTCCAGCTCGGCCTTGCTCTTGCCGAGCTCGGACTGCGAGCTTTCGAGCTTCGCCTCCAGGCGGTCCTTCTCCGCCTGTGCTCGCTCCAGACGCGCGCCCAGTTTCTCAACCTGTCAGTTAATACGATCACATTAGTGAGAGCTGTCGGATACTGAAATAGAAATTACGAAGGCGAAAGGACTCGTGTTGGCTTTTTCCCTCCATTATTGAATGTATATCACAACAAAGCCTTTTTGTATTCTTATCACGAGAAAGAAAACAAAATATCGCTCGATTGGTATTAACCTTTTCCGCACACCGAAAGAAAAATATCGAAAAAATAAAAATGTTTATCCGGTGGGCACTAATAATATATCAACGCACTGCCTTCGGTCTACTTATACTAATATACATATATTTTTTATTTACTTAATTAATATACAGATTTTCCTACTGAAAAAATTGTTTTGTGATATACGCCAAAAAAGTATCTCAATAATTGCAGTACACTGAGAAAAAAATGGATAACATTAACGCATCTTCTTCTTGCATTTAGTTCTTACAGCAATTATCCTGAATTATCTTTGTGAAAAGATAGTACGTTTTTGGAAACGAGATCACCACTTTTACTATATTTCCTAACGAACCTCTACCGTCATCATTAACACTTTTAGCATTTTCTCGATAACTATCGACTGGTTAAAGTTGACTTTCATTAGTATTAATAGCTATTAGACATTTCGAAGCTTAACTTTTAATCAACTACTAATTCTAGTTCCTTATTCCTTTACCGTGGATTGAAACATGGCTGTGTCGAAACTTAATTGCTTGCTCTTTATTCCCCATACTTAATTCCTTGTTCCTCATTCCCTTCATCGTGTCTGAGCCGTTAATCGCATTATCGCGAGAAGCGGGCACGAGCGAGATCGGTCTTTCACACAAAATTAATATCATTTACCGTGAACGTACTCGATGACACTTGGCGCGAATGACACGCAAGGCTCCATTTTTCATTGACTCACCTCGGACTCCAAGGCATGTATCTTCATTTTGTACTCGGCGAGCTCCCTCTCGTGTAGTTCCCTCTCCTCCTGCTTCTCCTGCTCGGCTCGGTCCCTTTGCTCGCGTAATTGTGCCATTTGCTTCTCTTTATCCCCGATCGCCTCCTCGAGGCTGCTAAGTGCACCCTCGCTGCTGCAATGATGCGCCTGCATCGCCGTCAGCCTGGCCCGGGCCATGTCGACCTGATTGTCTTTCTCCTTCAGCAGGTCCTCCAGATTCTCGATCTGAAGCCAACAGCGAGCTCGGCCGTAAGAGCAAAGAACGCGGGTCGCTACCGCTTTCGTGAAGGCAGTTTTGTTAGTGCAAACGGCAAATGCTAATCCAAAAACCGTCCGTGAAAGGCGAGCGGGAGTTCCGAGCTTTCTAATTTTTTCGCGTCCGACGAACAATTCGCCGTTTCCGGGAAAGTTTCCGAATTCGATGAGCACGGCTCGAAAATCGGTCGAGCTTATCGAGCGAGATCAATCTTCGACGCGTCCGTGAAAGAACGTTGCTTCGTCCGGCGCTAATTATAGCGCGTCTCCGCATTATATCCGCGCGAGCAGTTTAATTAAGCGTAAAATTTTTACGTAACACGTGATGTATTTATACGACGACCCCCTTCCCCTTACCCCAGCCGCGCGCTGCCCCGTGGAAGATGAATTAGCGAAGTGAAATTAGCGGAGTCTCGCGCGATAACAACATTTAGGAAATGAAACTCGGAACGCGATTTCCACGCGAATCGTAAATCCCGCTCGTGCGTCCGTCCGACCGTCCGTCTTCGTCGATGAGGTCTCGATGTCGCGGGATGTTAATTAACGTAATTCACCGTGAAATCACCTACCTGCCAACGCACTGCCTTCGGTCTTCCTCTACTCACACGATCGTGCTCGGAGGTCATCATCGCGACCAAACGGACGCGCTAACGCTAAGGAGAATTAAAAACCGCGCGGTCGTGCGACATGCGCGTTGTGCGTGCCGAAAAACATAGAAGCGAATTAAATAATAATTCCATCGACAGAGCGCGATATACAGTGGTGACGCAAAGGTGCGCATAATAGCGACGCAGGTTTCGACGCTAATCGAAACGAAAACAGGTGGATTACAAATTAAATTACACGCAAATACAACTTAATCAAGCGTGACGATATACAGGGTAAATTAAATGATAACGCTGAAACAAATCGATCTGTCGCTCGCTCCGTCATCCGCTGAACAAATCGACCGAAGAGATCGACGATGCGAAGGTGCACTTGAGGTGCGCGCTTGTACATTTTTACAATAATCAAACGTTAACGACATTCTCTTCCACTTACGACACATAGCTATGAGCTAAAAGAGGAGGAGCGGGGATGAAGTGACGTTGAATTAAAGATACGAATCTCGTCAAGCGCGGAAGTGAGCGAGGACATAGCCAGGTAGGAACGCGCAGGAATCGACGATGGCGAGACAATTAGTCGAGTGTGACGAATTAATGGCTTCAACGGAACGACTGGTTTGTGATTTTAAGATGCTTCGTGCCCTAAATATTTATCTAAATCATCTTTCTATTTTATTGTTTTTATTATGCAAGGTTTATCAAAAGTGTGGAAATGGTGGAATGTCTTTATAATTGACAAAACATTGGTTCACACAAATCAAATTGTAGGGTTTAGAGGGAGATGAGTTGTTGGCCTTAACTTCATTATATAATCAATAATTCAAAGTCAATGTCATTTTCTTAAATGGAATCATATACATTTATTAACACAAATCGATTCCCCTGTTTATTCTGCGTATAAAAATACTAGAATAAGATCATCGAAAAATGAATACTTTATGAGATATTTCATATCTTTTGTAGAAATATCAGAATAAACAATAAAATATCTCGAAAAGTATTCCACACCTTGGTAAGTCCTGTACAGCGATTTATCATCAATCACGGCACATAATGGCCTTTTAATTGAAGATTGCGGAGCGCAAGGCAGTCATGTGTTACTTAAGACAAAGACTTGAAGCATGAAACGTTCCCATACAGCACGCTTTATCCGATGGACTTCCTCAGGACGTCTCTTTCAGACATCTTTACGACATCCCTCGGACGTCTGTGCTGTATGAGTTGTCTTGAACCGATAAGCCAGCCATTCTGCCAAGCGGGACGCAACGGAATCTTACGAAAGAAACGCCCTATCACCTACGAGACAACGCACGAGTACGCGACGCGACGGGGGTATTGCGGTCTTCGCATTTGCGTCCGTGCCGTAATTGTACCCGAGGTTCCCCGTGTCGTACACGAGAGACACTGACGAGACAAACGTAAAAACGCCGCGAGGAACGTCATACAAAGGCGCGCGCGCGTACCACACGTCCGTGCCGCCGATCGACGACGGCCGAATCTTCGACACTCATGCGCATTCCTCCGTCGCAACACGGGGATGATGCACCAAGTCAAGAGTGTTTTCGTTCACTCTCAGCTGAGCCCGGACTAACAGTCCTGGCATTTTGCGTGAATACACGCGCGCCCCTAATCCGAGGGTCTCGCGCGTTTGCCCGGCCGAACGACGAGGAGGAGGAAGCAAAGAGACCTTTGACGCTCGCGAGGCTGATGAAGCGGTAATCAAAGGCGAGAGGACTCTTTCCGCGGAAAGCCAGCCCCGCGAGAGGAACGGCCGAGAGGGTTCGTATTTTTTTTGCCAGCGTTTCTCTCTTCAACCCTTCTTTTATTTATTTACTTTTTATTTTTTTATCGGTACGAGATCGTAGACCCTGGCGCGAAGGAGAGGACCGGAGAGGGAAGGGAAAAGTGAATCCCGGTCCCGTTTAATTTTTCATCGCGCCGGGGATGGGGAAAATGGCAAATCGGATCGTCGAGACGTCATCGCGACGCGCCATCGACGGGAACCTCCTCGTCCTTCCGCGGCAGGACGCACGCGAGGATTCCTCGGTCGCGGAGTGTCCCGGACACGACGGCGATCGATAGCGATAGTCGTCGGCACGTACGATCGTTCCTCGCGACTATCAGCCCCCGGAATTTCCTCAAAGAGCCGATCGCAATTCACACGAGGCCGATTGATTGAAGCCGCTGCTCGGTACTCATGCGCATTCCGCGTCTCCGCGGTGTGTATGCGTGGAAGGGGTGGCTACGTGGCGAGGAAGGAGATTGAGAGAGGGGTAAAGTAGGAAAATAAAAGAGAAAGGGAGGGAGAAAGTAGCGTACTCCAGCTAATTCATTAATTCCATCGGAGCAATCCGCCTGGCGCGATAGCAGTAAATATTGTCCCGAGCGCTAACTGCCGTCGCGTGATAAGAAAACGAATTTCGCCGGACTCGTCTCTCTTCGCGCGAGATAGACCGAACGTCTCACCGAGAGAGCGCGATAAGGAAATTTCATTTCGCCCAAGTTGTCTTACTTCGTACCGGCAATCTTCTCGCATAATGCCCCCCCCCTTCGCCCCTCCCTCCAGTTATGAATCGCAACGAGAGACGACTCCTCGTTCACGTCCGCTAGTCACCCTCGTGGGGGTGAGAACCGTCGACGAGTCCGCGCGAGAACGGTCCACGGATATCGTCTACGAGGCGATTCGTGGACCTGGGGGAAATGAAAGTCGGACCGTGGATCCGGAGTAAATGAAAGAAGGTGAACGAGGACGGTCTCGGTAGTAGGGGGGAGGTAAATCGGGGGTATGGAAGGACTCACCTTGCGCTGCAGAACGTTGATCTTGCGGTCTTTGATGTCCATGTGATCCTTGAGTTCGGTCAGTTCGGTGTTCATGCGATTGCGTTCCTGTTGCGCCTGCATCGCCGCCTGCGTCTTCTTCTCGATCATCCGGTTCTTCTCCTCGAGCCGCTGCCGCATCTCCTCGACCTGCGGTACATTGTCGGGCCGGTGAGTCCGGGCGAGGGTACGCGAGGACCGAAGTGGTGAGACGAGTCCAATCCGGAATATTCAGCGCGCAATACGTACGACGCACGTACACGCGACGCGACGCGAGGTGGCGAGGAGAGAAGAGAGAAGCTCGACCCAGTTTTCCACGACGGCTTGGTCTTCCTTTCTCCCTTGGTGGCCTCTCCCGCAGCTTCAGACTCTCGGCTGCCGACTCGTCGGGCCGATTTGTCTAACGGACGGTCGAGATCACGTGCCACCGATTACTTAACCCTTTCAGAAGTCCTCCTTCCGAAGGTCTTCCTCGCGGGCTTTAGGGGAGAACGAATTCTTTCTCTCTTCTTCCTCGCCGAGGCTTGCTTTGAAAGATTAATCGGAAGAGGGGTTTCGCGTCGAGGGTGCGATGTCTCGACGTTTCGAGGCGGAATTTTAAGCGGAAGCGCGACCGAACGTCTTCTCAATTTTTCATCGGTTGGGTCTTTCATTATTTTGCAGCAGCGAGGAAAAGTATCCACGCAATTGTTATTTGCTCGTCCATGTCGGCGTTAGTTATGCATCAAAGGGTCTTATTCCCGTTAATTAAGTGAAGAAATAAATTAACCCTCGCAAGAAGATAGAGTAGCAGCACGTAAACAGAAAGGTGGGGTCATAAATGACCTAAATATATGAATATATATTCTGTTTGATTAAAATAAGGAAACGCATGAAAGTAATATGGAAGAATAAGCGAGAATATATTTTTCAAAAATATTACAATAATATGATGAATATAAACGCGACTTGCTGAATGATTCCAGCTTTTCCTTGCGAGGTTTAAGATGAGATTTGCGTTTGTCGCAAGTTTGAGGTACCTCTCGCGATCGAGAGGTAACGTTTCGCGGAAGATCGCGTGGCGAGAATTAAATTGGTCGATCGAAAAATAGAGGGAAGTTTGCGCACGAAACACACATTGAAGATTCCCCTCGCGCCGATGGTCGTTTCCGAATTCATGGGGTTTGCGCGAGCCGGATCAACATTTCCAACGACCTCATTCAAATTCGATTTCGCAGCTTTGTGCTAGTTTCGCGCTCGACGTTAGACTTGGGCGGAAGTTTTTCAGCTCACGGTGCTCGTGGGGTTACGGCTTTTGTGGACTTTTAAAGGTTCTAAAAGGGCTTCGTAAAAATTGAACTTCGACGACTTCTTAATTCAGAGCGATAATCCTCGCCGCACGGTAAGCTTTCACGGTAATAGCACCGAGTTAGTTAGTACGGAATCTCGTCAGTCCCGCGCGGTGGCGAACATTCGAATTTGGGCGATGCGGTTAGAAATTCGGTATCGATTTCGGGGGTTGAGCCGTGTTCCAGTTTTGCCTCGGTGTGCGCGGAGAGCAACAAAACCGATAGTAAACTTGTTTACCGTGAACGTATTTGGCAAATTCCTCTCGTTGTAAATTTTCCAGAAGGATGCGCCCTCTACGTGCAAGAGAGAAATGATTAACGGGACATGAAGGCGAACTTACTCTTCAACTTCGAGCATCGGAAGAAATGAAACGTCTCGATTAAGTCGCTGGTACGCGCAGAAAAACACATTCTTATCCGCTGATTTTGCGAAATTATCTCTGGAGTGAGATTGCAAGAATCATCACTTTCAGAGTATACATCTCTCTCGAGGGTCTAGTCTATAAATAATCCACAAATTTTCACGAGTCGGTGGACCTATTTGTACGAAATTTGAAAATTGTGCCCGTATCACTGATAATTTTTTCCTTTAGATTGATTGTCAAATGTAATACAAAACGGAATAAAATAGATTTCGGCTGAGGATGATCACATTGAATAGTTAAAACGTCCCGATAATAAAATAATTGATATCTGTCTGTACAATAAATTATAAATATATGCAAATTAGACTTGAAACCGGCCCTCAACGTTTGAACTGTTGGATCAAAAACATATTATTTCTGTGATCCGATTGATCTCAGATAAGAAATTGCAACTTGGAAAATCCTCTAATGCACTCCCTTGCTGCAAGAAATAAATATACCCGCTTCTTTATACACATTTCTTCTTTATATAAATGAGTTAATAAATACATTGATTTACCCTCGATATTCCTGAGAATAATTTTTTCTCATCAGGACCCAACCTTCACCTGGCAGGGAACCCCTCGTATAATTCTATTTTCATAATGGATCGGAAAGGTTTACACTCACGTCAGCCTGCAGCATGTTGTAATGCTCCTCCTTGGCGCAGAGAGATTCCTTGAGCACGGCGATGTGTCTCTGGTAATCTTGATGCTGCTCCTCGAGCGTCTTCATCTTCGCCGACATCGCCAGGAGCTCCTGGTCCCTTCGCTGTACCTCCGTCCGGAGCTCGTCCAGCTGCGAAAAGATTCGTCGTCCAGGAGAGGATCAGTCCCTGCGCCCCGTCCGTCTTGGTGACGACGACGACGAAGACAACAGACGGCATAACGGCGACGGCGACGAGCGACGGAAACGTCGGGACTGCCGACTCTCTCCGTCATGACCGAGTACGACGACGGCGATAACAGTGACTGGTCCTCCGACGAGGACTCGATGGAAATGCGCGCGAAAAGTACAAAAAGACAGAGAAATAAACTGCCTTCACACGAAGCGACCGTGGCGGTGGGCTCGTTAGAATTTGAAATGGCTGTCAGGAAGAAGCGAACGAGAAAACGTTTGGTGAATGAAAGCTTCGAGTTATATGATTTAACGTCCCGTTACGTTTAATTAGAAAAATCTCAGTTGAAAATTATACCATCCCGAGGTTAAACTATTGGAGTAACCGAAACGGGGATATTTCAATTTTTCACGTTGTTGATTCTGCATTTTTCAGCATCTCCGACGATTCCTCTAATTTCCTTTAATTTGGTATAGTTAAGAATATACAATCATTGCAAATATAATCTGATCGGATAAAATATTAGATAATGCTCGTTTGCATTGTTCCGACGTCTATTTACATAAAAGCTGATTTTTATTTTTAGGGGGGAAATTTGCCGCGAACCTTGCATCTTATAGTGCGCGCGTCTTAAATTATTCCTGATCCAAATTGCGCGGGAAATTGGTTTTCGAGCGAACAGCCTTGCGGGATATAATCAGGGAGTTAGTTAATTGCCGTTGGACTTTGACACGAGCCTCTCTTGAGAAAGAGATCGGGATTACTTTAATTAAAATTACGCCGACGCGAGGAGATCTATCCTGTAAGAAAGTTTCCACGTCGAGGATTAAAAATTAAATCGCATTGTCGTGCCGCTTCGATCCCACCGCTATTTTTAACTCGCCTATGCGTCTTTCTTGATCTTACTTGATCGGATTAACGAAGGAGGCTGACGCTCGAGCTATTACGATCGTGTCCTAATTACCAAGGCAAACAAGAAGCCTACGTGTGTGTCGAGTTGCGAGCCGGTCTCGGCGAAATCTAAATTTAAGAGCTGCCCTTGATCATTAAAACATCTGTTAATCAATCAATACATCCCTTTAAAAGCTCAACCGTGCTCTCGCGCCCGCGTTAATTGCGGTTAACTAACTTCTCTCTTTCTATCTACAACAGCTAAGGCTACGATCTAAACGAGGATGGGGTCTTGCTGAGTTAGTTAACCGAATTCGACCTCGCCTCGATCGACCGGTCACGCATCTTGCACGCGTCACACACGAGAACTTTCGCGATGCATATCGAGAGATTGAAGGGGGAAAAAAAATTCAAGAAAAATCGTCGTCTCTCGTACTCGGACAGGACTCGTACGAATGCATGCAGCGTAATCGAGGCCAACGATACAAAATTACATATAGTGTCTTTCGAGAAAGAATGTAATATATACATAAATATATATATTTATATATAAATTCTTTAGGCGTATATAACACAGGAGAGATTACAAATGAAACGAAAAAGAGAATGTACGTATTTATATATAAATATATATAAATATACGCCAAAAGTGTTCAATAGCGAAGTGTGGTGGAGAGAGATATATATGACAACAGAGACGGGTGATCTTCAGGGGGAGAAAGATATATATATATATCCGGAATATCCGGATATATATATATATATATATATATATTCGGAAGTCTGTCATGTATGTGTCTCTCTTATTTTCGTGTACGTACCTACGCTCGTCTCATCTACTCTGGTGTCGGCAGGCCGCGTGAAGGAGCTCGTCGCGACATATCGCCGCTCTCGCGAAATCTCGCGACGACCTCGAAGCAGAGTCGTATACGTAATACAGCTACTACTCGCTAAACGCTACGAAGTAAACGCGATGCGAGCGAGATCGCGGGCGCGCGAGGTCCTCTCTGAGTCGGACGGAGAAACGGGCACCTCAGGACCTCGTCCTGGAACGGTCGGCCCCAAAAACCGCACGCACCGTTTCCGCATCGGTGCTCGAACGCTGAATTTAAGGAAAGATAACTTCTTAGATTGATCTATATGGGTGCGAATATTTTAATAGAGATGATTCCTGGAGCTTTCGTCGCCGAGCGAACGACGATCGAGTGTCTTACGCTGTTTGGAGTTCAGCGACTCGATGAACAAGACTCGGGGGGGGTGCGAGAGAGGGTGCGTCCGGATTAATGGCGGGGATCGGTAGCCTCGTAATAAACGAGAGAGGAACTCGGCCGCGCGCGTCTCACGCTATATTTAGTCAAGACGCCAGACGAGGGAGGGACTTCGCTCTTCCTTGCAGCTTTCCCTCCTCGAACGCTCGGGCAGGACACCCCGAAGGAATCTGCGCGCGCATTTGAGAAGGAAGATAACAAAAATCGTTCGGCTCGCGCCCGCGTCCAGCGCCGGCTATTGATTAATGGACAGCAGCTATCACGGCATCTCTACGACGCCGAGGGCGACGGCGATATCGCCCGATCCCCGAGGATCGTCGGCGGGGCGACGAGGAGCGGCCGTCGCTCCGACGGCGACCTCGCTCACGGTGATGATCATCTACGGTGTCACTAAGCCGCACACACGCGCACACACACACACACACACGCACATGAACACTGTCGATGATGGGGCGTGAAGGGAGGTGAACGAAAGTCCTTCGTTCCTTTCGCTCTTCCGACCGACACGGAATGGATGATGATGGTACGATGAGATCAAGATCTAGGATCGTGAGGATTGCTTCTCCTCTTACGGAACCACATCGGGGTCTCTCTCGGAGACCGTCCGTCCGTACAGTTTGTTTTTTCTCTCTTTTTTCTCTTTTTTTCTTTTTGGCTTTATTTTCTTTTTCAACGGTGAGAGATGCGTGAGATGATGATTGCGAGACAGTCGATCAACGATTCACGCCAGTAGAAAGACAGAGAAAGTTTGAGAAAGAGACAGAGAAGACAGAAAAAGACAGAGAGAGAGAGAGAGAGAGAGAGATATACAGAGTAGACAAGTACAGCGGCTACGGTATACATCGAAACACTCCGTTACGGTAATACGGTAATCACGTAAATGGAAACAGAGGAGGGAGGGTGGTTGGTGGTGATGGTGGTGGTGGTGATGGTGGCTCGGAAGAGCTTCTTGGGCGGGTGAAGAATTTCCTTACCTCCTCAGAAAGCTAGAATATTGGGGCACCACGTTTAATAAAGCTTCACCACGAAGGCCGCCCAACTCCGCCGTCCCTCTTCCGAACGTTAACGTTCGACGACCGTCGTTATACGTCGTTACGCGTTCCCTCATACCTTAGGCGTCCCCGAATTCCCGGCCGTAATTATAACCGACAGATTCCTCGGCGAATTCGAAGTCGATTTTCCGTCTTCCAGGGTGGCAGAGAATTTCGAGCGGCGGTGGTGGGGAAGAGGGTAGGCAGTAGTTCCTCGATATTCGTCGAATATCGGTGATTAAATCGCCAATTAAAACATCGGGAAAGTTAAGCCCACTCGGATTTCAGTGGAGATTTCGTTACGCGATTGCATCTCTGCGTCGGCGATTTACTTCGCAAAGGACTCCCGCTGATTTTCGTAGATCGACAACACCCCGTCTCGAGGAAAAATCAGCTTCAAATTGGTCACGAATCTGACGTTGTTGAACTCGGAGATCTCGGGACACATCGTGTTGCGTTGATTATTTGTTTAAATTAACAACACCGGATCTCTCCGAAAAAAATTGACCCCGGGAGCACCGTTGTGCGATATGAAGACGTTATCCAAGAGCGGCGCTATCAATTCAGCCGATTGTCGGAAGAGTTCCGCGGAATTGGGGACTGCCATCCATTGCTGACTTATCGCTAACTTAGCTCTATCTTAAGTGCTAGTTATACCTTAAGTTCTATCGGACAAAAGGCGACATTTGCTTTATCTACGAGTCGTGCTGTGAAACTCGCCAACTTGCCCCTTCGCGAATCGTATTTTACGAGAAGGAAGACAATAGCGTCGCGCCGCAAAGACAACCTTGCCAGTGCACTGTCGGTTCAATCTCTCCTCAATCGCTCGCGAATTACCAACGTCAATGAGCAGTTCTCAGAGAGCAACACGCAAGGTCTGATTGTTAAGGTAAGCGAGCGGAGCTTAGTGAAATACCGACAACAATTCTAACAATTGTACCTTCGCTTAACTTCAGATCTCAGTGTTGGGCCGGTTCTCGGCGAATCGATCGACGCTCAACGTTTAATCCGTCTCCAGCGAGACAAGATTCGCCCGGAGCGCGCGGTCTAAGGGAGGAGAGAAACGCCGAGAACGCACGTCAGGACGTCAAGGCTGCAGACAGCCGAGGGAAGGCCGCGCGCTTTCCTGACGGAAGAAACCGGCTGACGAGCGCGCAAGACTCGTGGATGAACCAAATGTTCCTCTCCGTCTCGGACGGGCCGAATTAGCGGGCTCTCCCGACAGGTATCCGACGTTCGAGATCCGTGGACGATGCTCGTGTCATCCCGACACGTCCACGCGCGTCTCATTTTTGTCAATTGTCAAACGGGAACGGTACAGAGCTACATGACAGATGCACTCTCTGCGCGCGCGTGCAGCATGCATAGGACGCTCGAGAGCGGAGGCGGCGGGGGGATGGAGAGGGCTGGTCAAAATCGACATGCGTCTCTAATTACGACACCGAGATCTACGGAGGGGATCGACAGAATGAAAAATAGAGAAGTCGATGGGAATAATGGGGGAGAGAGAGGGAGAGAATTATACGAACGATGACGATGTGGAGACAAGTATACTTGCCGATGATGAATGCGAGCGAACGCGCGATAAAACGCACGGAGCGGCGCGCTCTCGCGATGTTGATCCCCGCGCAATCGACGACGATATCTTCGATACTTGAAACGATCGGACAACTTGATCGTCACCGTGAGCGAACAGAATGAGACCGGGCGAACGATGACGCGATCGCCGGCAGAATTTAGATTAGAGAACGATCGTTTCAGCGAAGGCGA